GCCCCTCTTGTTGAGCACCGAGTTTTGGCCCGGGACACTGTGAGCTGCAGCGGGGTGGGCGTCTTCCGGCCACGGCACGCCAAGGACGCTCTGGACGGTGTCAGACGATCGGTCCTTGAAGCGGCCTGCAACCCTCTGGGGCCGTATGACGGAGGCCGCTGGACGGACGGCTTTTCGTCTCTCGCTGAGCATGCCTCTGGATCCGCTGCACTGCCACTTGACTCCCCGGACAGCGGAGCTCCCTGTGGGGCCTCACCGCACAGCTGCTGGCAGCCTTGCATGCACCTGCCGAGCGGAGTGTCCTGCCACTGAGCATGGCCTCGGACACTTCCCAGTTCCCCGCCTGGCAGCAGCATCCCAATCGCCCACACGAGTTCCTGTCGCCACGGACTCCCTCTCGGCGATGGAGTCACTCCGCCTTGGCCCGCTGGAGACGCACGACGACGTCAGCGAGGAGATTTGTACCGTGCCGCATTCACTGGCGGATTGAGGTCACACAGCAGAATCCACATTTTCCTATGACACTGCGGAATCCCACGCAATGAGGCCGCCGACGCTGATGCCGTCATGGCACGATCTCTTTCGCAGGACTGCGTCACTGCCTGGCACGTGGACTTCCTTACCGCCGTCAAGAGGTTATACTGGAAGGATGTGCAGGAGGAAAAGGAAGTCGCGCACACCGCGTGACAGGCGCCTGTCGGTGTGGCGAGGACTCTATTCCTGGTGTTGACCCGGACATCGGTCCCCGAGTGGCGGCACTGCGCACAGGCGCGATGCGACTCCTGCCCACTCTTCGACAGGCCTGCACGCGCCCTGCGGATCACAAGGAACCCTCTGTGTCGGTGGTGCCGTCCCTCCCTCACTGCGGTGACCGGCCCGCCTCTGCCTCCGCCGGAACTTCTTCCCGACGTGAGCACCGCAACTCCTTGCCTGCCAGCGAGCGGCGGATTGACGTCCTCCTGCCCAACCTGCAGCAGAGTGCATTTGTCCGTCCACAGTATGAGGGCACATGCCCGACGTGCTCAGCCTGGCGTTATAATAGTTTGCGAGGGCCTCCCATGCGGATGCCACAATGGCGCCACCGTCTTCTTAACAGGTGCCTCGCGCGCAGGTCGGCACCGAAGTTGCCAAGCATGCCAGCAGGCAAGACACGCAGGAAGCACAAACGCGGGTACTCGGGATGGACCAGGCTCTTCCGCCACCGCCTCATCACAGACGCCACGGGCTGCTGATCCCCCGACGGACCACGGGAGACTCTGCCTCATCCACTGCGGGAATGCCCTCGTCGTTGGGAACTGGGAATGCGACTGTGTGGGACTGCCCCAGCCCGCACGACGGCCCGTTTGCGACGGAATACTTGCCACCTTTGTACGGACGTTTTTTGCGCTACTCACTCGTTATTGTAGCAGCATACAACAAAAACAGGATAACAAGTTGCTTTGTGATGAATATTGGCTGCACTTCCCGTGGACCAACAATCCACGTGGTGTGCGGGGATCTCCTTTTTTATTGCTACTTTGCTTTTGTGTTGCTGTGTGCGCTGCACCTTCTTGTGTGTGTGCGCACCCTCCGTGAGGGGTGCAGACACGACGGACCGCTCTCGCCGCATGTACATGCGGTGGAGCCTTGTGTGTCGCTCCTGTTTGCTTCTCCCTCTTCCATCTGTGTGTTGGTGTTGCGGCAGGGCTGTGTGTGTGTGTGCCTGCTGCCGTGGATTGGAGTGTGTGTCGTGCGTGGTGTGCGGCGTACGGTGCATGCCTGGCTGCTGCCCTCTCCTCATGTGGTGTGCCCTCTGTGTGTGTCTGCCGCACCTCTCGTCTCCCCTGTTGCTCTCCATGTCCCTCACTGTGCAGGTCAGCTCCACACCACTGAACGACCACACTCACGATGATGATGACGTGCCGTCTGCTGTGCGCCCTGTTGGTGCTCGCCCTGTGCTGCTGCCTGTCCGTGTGCGCGGCAGCCACTCAGGAGGCCACTGATGTTCAAGCTGATATAAACCACTCCAATTTGTCGCCTGTTTCACCTGAATCTATGGCGGCTGCACCTAATGGAAGCGTCACCGGTCCAGCGGTCCCTGAACCAAGAGGAATACCAGGGAACGGTCAGGCTGAGGCTGCTGAAAATTCAGCCACTGAGCCGGCTGCGAAAGAAATTGGGCCAGAGGCACCAGTTTTGGCCGTTCCGGGACCAAAAGCAAATACTGAGCCAAATACATCACTGTCAGAGGGTACGAACGGTAATAAAGGATCAGAAATTGGCACGAGACAACCCGCCGATCAAACAGATAATAAAGTCGAAGTTGTTACTGAGACAACCGAGTCGATCGCTGCAACAGTCTCACCGGAGAACACTAAGAATCCTGAAGCTAATGGAAAAGGCGCTAATTTATTGCCTCCTGCATCAAGGGATAAACAGGGGAAAGGTAATTCAGGGTCGTCAGGTTTGGGGTCCTCTGCGGACTCGGGAAAAAGTGCCGTAGAGGGAGATTCCACCGTTACGGAACCGCAGTCAAATAACGCACCCAATACGATACAGGCAGAAGTTAATAATGGCACTACAGGACCACGAAGTGGCACAAGTTCTTCCGCTGACCAAACAGATAATAACGCCAAAGATGTTTCCGCAACAACCACGACTACAACAAAGGAACCAACTACGACGACCACCACTGCGCCAGAGGCACCAACCACTACGACTACAGAGGCGCCAGCTGTGTCGACCACCCGCGCACCGTCACGTCTTCGCGAAATCGACGGCAGCCTCAGCAGCTCTGCGTGGGTGTGTGCCCCGCTGGTGCTCGCCGCATCCGCGCTGGCGTACACCACTGTGGGCTGAAGAGGTGTGTGCGGGCTGTGCGTGCCAGCACTCAACCGCGGGGTTTGCGCGCGTGTGTTGTGGTTCACTGTATAAAATAAGAGAAAATAATGATTGTGTTTTGCTTCACTTGCTTCTGCTGCCGTGCTGTGTGCTCCGCGTTGTGCCCCGCATCCGCCACGTTGAACGCATCGCGGACACACTCATAAGCATGCGCACTGGAGCCCTGGGTTTGTTTTTCTTTTCTTTTTTTAATTTCTGTTTTTTAATTATTGTTTTTTATTGCTTTTCAAACTTCTGGTTTGCGGGGCGGTGTGCGAGCTCTGCAATCGTACTGATTCCATCTGTCTCGTGGTGTGTGCGCTGCTGCTGCTGGGGTGCTGCCATTTGTTGCTGTGCGGTGGCTGTGCGTGGTGTAGCGGCCGTGTCTATCTTTTTTCTTCCCTCTCTGTTGACGGGGAGTTAGTTTTTGCTTTAGGCTGCACGCAAGTGACAGGAGTGATGGCGATGATGACTGGCCGTGTGCTGCTGGTGTGTGCCCTCTGCGTGCTGTGGTGCGGTGCCGGCGGTGTCGGATGCGCTGAGCGTTTGGCAGCTGCTGCCGATATACCTGTTGATTCTGCGAGTGGTGGTGGAGGTTTGCTGGAAACGCCACCGCCAGTGCTGTCACGTTTACTTCCAGGAGAAACTGACGATGCTGAAGCCGAAGTTGAAAATGAAAATCAATGAGTTGCTGGAGATGAAGAAACAGACAATGGGAGTGAAGAAGAAAAGTCTGCAACTGTGCTGGGCATTACAAACGGCACTCTGATTAGGCTTCAGCAGGAAGCACAACACACCCTTGCAGGAAAAACTTCGGCAGGAAACGTTGAAGTTGCTGATGTGGAAGGAGTTGGAGAAGAGGAAAAGGTTGAAGATAAAAAAGGTGATAAATTCAAAGAAGATCTTGGAATCACTCCGTTGGCAGTGACTGAATCGAATCCGACTGACGAAGAGAACCCACGGCCACAGCCACCGAATGAAAAATAAGAAGGTGAGGTGGCGAACCCCTTAAATGGCAGCTCGCCGGGACTTGGAGTTCAGCAACAAGTTTTATCGGGTTTGTTGGATGGCGCACCAGCCAAGAGTACAACGGACGCTAATCCATCGTTCCCATCTAGAGGTGGACGTGCTGTTGACAACAGTGAGGGGAGGGAGGATGGCTCAGGGATTACTGAACTGCCTGCCGCCAGAGAAGGACAAGGCAAAAAGGGATATGGCAGAAGCGTTATATCAACGACAGATGGGAGAAAACATTACAATTATCAGTGAATAAAGCCGCCAACACGAGTGATGCGGCAATAAATGACAACAGCAGAAGCAGCCCCACAGCAGCTGCGGCCCTGCAGTCTGACGATGGCTCAGAAAGCAATCCGGCCACAAACGGCTTGAGCCAACCCTCCAGTGGAAGAATCGCACAGCTCAGTACGACTCCCAATCCCAACGACGCATCAGGCACCACAGAGAATGCGACATCCCAGAGTGCAGGAATCCCAAGAGCACCAATTAACACAGCCAAAACAGATGATACGGTGCCACCTGACGACAGTGACAGCACTGTGGTCTCTCACACCACCTCCCCTCTTTTGCTTCTTCTTGTTGTTGCGTGTGCGGCTGCTGCTGCGGTGGTGGCCGTGCCTGCATGAAGTGGAGTGCGATGAATATGGACGAAGGCATACGGCAACTGAACTGTTTTTGTGATGAATATTGGCTGCACTTCCCGTGGACCAACAATCCACGTGGTGTGCGAGGATCTCTTTTTTTTATTGTTACTTTGCTTTTGTGTTGCTGTGTGCGCTGCACCTTCTTGTGTGTGCGTACCCTCCGTGAGGGGTGCAGACACGACGGACCGCTCTCGCCGTATGTCCATGCGGTGGAGCCTTGTGTGCCGCTCCTGTTTGCTTCTCCCTCTTCCATCTGTGTGTTGGTGTTGCGGCAGGGCTGTGTGTGTGTGTGTGCCTGCTGCCGTGGATTGGAGTGTGTGTCGTGCGTGGTGTGCGGCGTACGGTGCATGCCTGGCTGCTGCCCTCTCCTCATGTGGTGTGCCCTCTGTGTGTGTCTGCCGCACCTCTCGTCTCCCCTGTTGCTCTCCATGGCCCTCACTGTGCAGATCAGCTCCACACCACTGAACGACCACACTCACGATGATGACGTGCCGTCTGCTGTGCGCCCTTTTGGTGCTTGCCCTGTGCTGCTGCCCGTCCGTGTACGCGGGAGACGCTCAGCCTGAAGCTGCCGCTTCTTCCCAGACGACCACGACGACTACAACACAGCCACCAGTCCCCAAGGAGAAGTCCGAACCCAAACCTAATGTAGCTGCCGTTCCACCGCCTTCAACACCAGATCCATCACAGGGTACCGGCCAGCCAGGGTCGTCAACTTTGGGGCCCGTTCCAGATCAGGGAAACGTTGGCGGATCGGGACCAGGTGTGACCGCTGGGGGACCGCAATCAAATGTCGTGACCAATAATTTACAGGCAGAAGGCAGGGACGGTATGACAGGAAGACAAAATGGCACTAATACATCCGCAGATAAAGCAGCTCAGGAAGCCAAAGATCCTGCCGAGACCACGACGACCACCACAACAAAGGCACCGACTACGACGACCACCACTGCGCCAGAGGCACCAAGTACTACGACTACAGAGGCGCCAGCTGTGTCGACCACCCGCGCACCGTCACGTCTTCGCGAAATCGACGGCAGCCTCAGCAGCTCTGCGTGGGTGTGTGCCCCGCTGGTGCTCGCCGCATCCGCGCTGGCGTACACCGCTCTGAGCTGAAGAGGTGTGTGCGGGCTGTGCATGCCAGCACTCAACCGCGGGGATTTGTGCGCGTGTGTTGTGGTTCACTGTATAAAATAAGAGGAAATAATGATTGTGTTTTGCTTCACTTGCTTCTGCTGCCGTGCTGTGTGCTCCGCGTTGTGCCCCGCATCCGTCACGTTGAGCGCATCGCGGACACACTCATAAGCATGCGCACTGGAGCCCTGGGTTTGTTTTTCTTTTCTTTTTAATTTCTGTTTTTTAATTATTGTTTTTTATTGCTTTTCAAACTTGTGGTTTGCGGGGCGGTGTGCGAGCTCTGCAATCGTACTGATTCCATCTGTCTCGTGGTGTGTGCGCTGCTGCTGCTGGGGTGCTGCCATTTGTTGCTGTGCGGTGGCTGTGCGTGGTGTAGCGGCTGTGTCTCTCTCTTTGTTTTCACATGCTATCGAAGGTTGGCTCCGCAGCGTTAGGCGACTCCACTGTTTGTGATGATGACTGGCCGTGTGCTCTGCGTCCTGTTGGCTCCTGCAGTGATGCGCAGCTGCTCGTGCGTGTGAGTGACGGCTGCTGCGACGGGGTGCGTGTGCGGCCGCGGGTGATGGCGCGGTGACTGCTGGGCACGCGGAAGCTGTGATGGCTGCGGAAGGTGGACCCGTGGCCGGTGGCTCTGGACGAAAGGGAAATGTGAACTCTGAGGACAATAGCAATCAGGAAGACGAGGAGGGTAGAGGAAGCACCGCGGGTGAGGGCCACAATCCCACCTCGGCAGGACCACTCACTGCTCCGACGAGGCAGGACCAATCCAGCAGCGACCCACTGCGAAGTAACACTTGCAATCCGTCCGGCACTGGCAGCGCTTCTGCTGCTCGGATGCGTGCAAGTGGACCGGACTCTTTGGGCGGAGGGCACGCTGCAGGCACAGCATCCCCACGCTCCGACGCATCTCAGCAGGCAGCAGGTGGAGTGCATGCTGGTGGCGGGAGGACCTCCCAGGGCAGTCAGGCCTCGGAACAAACCGTCACGGGACAGTCACAGGTGCCAGGGAAGGCGAAGGAGGCACAGCAGGGCGATGAAGGAGAAGAACCCGGAGCGCAACACGAAGCCGACCAAACCACAAAAATGACTGTGGTGACCTCTTGCACAAAAACAGCGGTGGAAGAGGAGAGCCGCCAGCGGGATCGCAAGATGCACCACGTCTCTATAGTGGCGGGAATGCTCATTATTATTATTTTTCCCTGCTCTTACCGACATGTCTAGCCACACGATGTCACCAGGATGCCGAGGAGGTGGTCGAGCAGCGACATGAGTTTCCTGCTACGAGGCAGCTGCCATTGGGAGAACCTTTCGGTGCAAAGGTCCTTCTTAATGCCCAGCCGTTGGCGCACAGCCAGAGCGTCTGTACATTCTGGAAGCAGATGGTGCAGTGTTTTCTGCGGGCTAATTGTTGCGCTTGTGGAGGCTGGCTGATCCTGCGGTAGCAGTGATTGCCTCCTGGCACTGCTGCTGCGGTACCGATCAGCGTCTGGGTTTTGTGCGCAGCGATATCAGTGCGGAGCTTTTTTTGTGTGGGGAAGACCGTGTTGCAGCAATCGCGGTGGAGGTTGGGAAGCGGTGGAGGGCGTTCCGGATGAAGGCACCGACAGTGGCTGATGTGGTTCGTGTGTCCCACCAGTGTGGCGTCACAGTGCGGGCATTTCCTCTTCCGACGCCGTGTGGAGGGCCGTCTCTCCACAGGCGGTGCGTCGGCCTCCCTTGTCGTCGGGGGAACAGCTTCCGTCCCGGTGCAGTGGGATCGTCGTTGGAGCGCATATAAGCAGAGTGTTCCGGTGAGGTGTTGCGGAAACGGCGTTGGTTCGTGCAGTCTCTCACAGTCCAGTACAGGCGACCCCAGAGCTCGGATTCCCCGCACCCTGCTCATGCAGTGTTTGTCCGTTCCTGTTGGTCGAGGGCTTCCTGGGTAATCAGGTGCTTGCCGCCTGGATCTGATGGCCTGGCGCCGCCAAGCAGGTAGTGGTGGGTGTCCTGATGCATGGTGCTACGCCACTTGTTGGTGAGCTGGGTGTTAATGCATGTCAGCAGGTCCGTGCGCTGTATGGGTGCTATTCCATGTTCCGTGTATTGCCCGGTTGCCGTGGTCTGCGTCTAATGATCTGCAGGCTCGTTAACATGTACTCCGCGATGTTCGTAGCAAAACTGCAGCTGCACGGACCAGCCGGCACGCGTCAGTGACAAGAGATGCTGCCAGATCCGGTTCTCCGTCCAGTCGGTATGACTGCGCGGGCCCTTGGTGACGGCGGCTAGAAGGGAATGACTGTCTGTCACCACATGCAGGGTTCTTGCCTGTGCTGGATACGATGGACACTCAGCCTTTCCATGGCCGGGAGCAGTGCACGGGACTCCGTCCTGTAGCTGCATGGGCGTGTGCCGCAGTTGGTACTGACCTTCTCTATTATCTTCGAATGTTGCTGGATGAGAGCAGTATGCCAATCCCGGCTGACTTGGGGACGTCAACACCGCCATCCGTTGCTAGTATCCACGGTCCCCAGCGATGATGTTGCGCCTTGTCGCGGTGTTGAGGCTTTGGTTGCGTATAGGAACTCTGCAGCAGGGCGTTGCTGCGAGCACGACGGAGACCAAGGTGACTTCACCCCTCGAGAAGGTTCCACGCCATGCCCGGTGTGGGGAGGTGAGGCGGTCTGCCTGCAGACTGTCGGACAGAACTGCACGACCGTTTCGCAGCGGTCACTCCGTTGATATCACCCGTTGCGGTGACGTTCACAAGAACCCTGGCCCGAGGAGGATGGCTACATCAATATTTGGCAGCTTAACATTGCAGGCCTCTCGTCCGTGAAAAATATTGCATTTGCTGCGCGATTGGAGCAGCGTCCACCTGACATCGTTCTTCTGCAGGAAATAAGTAACCGTGGTGACGTTGCGACGAAATTATCTGGCCATAATGACTACCTTCAGGCCCGCACTGGGCGCGGTGGTGGTGTTGCCGTTCTGGTGCGCCATTCTCCACCGTGTGGACGCCTGTCGCTCCCTGGCACTGACCTCCTGGAGACCATTGCTGCCCGTGTATTTCCACCAGGCTGTCCCAGCATTTGCGTGGCGAATCTCTACAACCCTCCCACAACAATTGGTCAATAATCCGCATCTATCAATATCGTTTGTCGCTTGGGCCCGAAGAGATTATCGCGGGTGACCCGAATTTACATCGTGAACTCTGGGACAGTCATATATAACATCAACGACTGGAGGCGATAATTTCGCCGCTGTTCTAATCGATATGGATTTTGGGCTGGCAAATGACCCGACGCAGGCAACACGGATCACACATCGTAATGCCTCGTCCCCTGACGTGACTGCGTATTGCGCCCTACGCATCTCCCACTGGACATTCGCCCATTACATAAACTCGGACCACTGCTGAATATCTTACTTGGTAGAGATGGATGATGGCACTCCACGACTAGCAAACACGCTGCCTTGACGGAAGGAAGCCACCTTTGCCCTGCGTAAAGCGGGTTGGCATGCTTTTACATCGTTGTGTGAAACCCTCCTTGCCACCGCGTCCACATGGTTGGATCCTCGCGGAGGCATCTTACGAGCAGCTGAGCGCCATATCCCGCGCGGCAGCCGTGACAGCTCCAAAAAGATATGGACACACGAAATGGAACAAGCCGAGTCCGCCGCAGAAGCAGCACACGAAGCACACACATTGCCTCACCTGGAGACAGCCTACTTTGAGCTGCATGTACCCGAAAAAAAGGAGGAACGAAATCAAGCCTTACGCCATTGCTCCGCTGTGCTTCTGGAAGCCCGCGCGAAAGGACTTGGAGCTTCACCCAGCCCGAGCTGGCGATATCTTCACGGCATGGCGGCGCCGCACCCTCATCCTCTGGAATCGGTTGTGCTCCGCACTGATCTTGGCCGCGTATGCGCCCTGCCTCGGCAACAGGCAAATCTGCTTGTCCGTCATTTTGTGCGGTTTCACGTGCCATACCGCCTTATGCTGCTGCTGCTGCTCGCTGCACTCCTTTGGTTTCTGGTGGCTGGGAAATGGATCGGCCTTTCCCGCCGTATGAACTTGACGTGACCATCCGTGACTCTTTGCTTGGCTCAGCCCCTGGCCCCGACGACATGTTGAATGAATTCCCGCACCGTCTCGTGCCCGTCGCGTGTGGCACACTTAGAACGATGATCCACAACTCCTTCGCAAATGGCAGCCTGCTTGGCTCCTGGAAAATGGGAGACGCTATTCCTATCCCCAAGCCTGGGAAGGATCCATGCCGCCCAGAGAGTTAAAGACCTATCACGCCACTCTCTGTTTTACTGAAGTTAACCGAAGGAGTGATTCACCGCCGTCTGTCAGCGTTATTGCCGCACCACCCACGTCAATTTCGGATTTGCACCTTCGCGTTCTACCTCGGACGTGGTGGCACTTGTTATCGACAAATTACTCATGGATTGAATGAGTTTGGTATTGTGGAGTATGAGCGCCCTGGAGACGACGCCCCACACGACACGCTCGTCGCCACCTCTCGCTCGTAGTTTCGATTGATTTTCGATTGCGTTCGACACCACTGACCATGGGAAGTTATTCTGCATGCTTGACAGACTTCCGCGCCTTGGCCCTCGAACCAAACGCTGGCTGCACAACTACCTGCGGGGCCGCTATGTTAGGGTATGCACTCGCGAACAGCACTCCCGGAAACAACTCGCCTCAGCTGGAGTACCGCAAGGCGGCGTCCCGGGACCCCAACTCTTCCTCTACTGTGTGGATGGTCTGCTGCGCCGCCTGGACAGCATCTATTCTGCCTCCGCTTTCATGTACGCTGACGAACACACACCTGTTGCCTCAGGTGCGGACATCCATGCCTGTGCTGCGGCAATGCGACCGCTCTTGTCTCTTGTGGCCACATGGACTGCCGAGTACAGCCTAAAAATCAACGTCGCTAGGAGCGAAGCTGCTCTATTCTACATCTCTTCACACACACACGGTCTGACGAGGACATGGTCGATCTCCATCTTGTTAGCTGGAACCTACGTATTCAGTCACGCCCAGTGCGCTTACTGGTCAACACTTTCGATCGACTTCTCAATTTTGTTACGCATGCTTCCACCGCTTCAAAGAGGGCCATGCCACGCCGCTATCAGCCGCGACTGGTCGCAGAGGCGGGCGCGTCCCATCACACCATGCGATCCTTTTTGATTGGATACGTTCATGGTGTGCTATTTCATAATGGCGAGGCAATTGTCCCGTGACTTGCCCCCACTCACCTCCATAATATGGAAGTACGGTACCGCGACGGTAGCAAAACATTCTTTGCCTGAGCGCATCTGCGGAAGACACATCTGTCTATTTGGAAGCCAATATTCTTCCGCTCCGTAAGATACTTTGGCGTCGTGCACTCACACAATACGAACGCTATATACGCTTCCATGATCACGAGGATTTGCGTTCCCTTATGTACTCGGAACCTATGCCGCCGTCCATGCATGGGAAGGCAGCGACATCGATCCCGCTTCCGAGAGATGCTGTTATTAATGGATTGCCACGCGTCTGTGACATTATTGGGACACCCCACAACCACATTTGCGCGCCTCTTGCCCAACATTGAATTTTTCCCTGAGACACTGTGATCTGCAACAAAGTGAGATTTTATCAGCCACTGTTTGCCAAAGACGCCTCTGACGATGTCAGGCGCACGGCTTTTGATTCTACTCACTCCTCTTTGTGGGATTGTGGTTTTGAATTGTGGACGGACGGTCCTTCATATCTCGCTGCACTCGCATCTGGATCCGCTGCGCTATTATATGACTCCACCACGACAAATGATCTCCCTGTGGAGGTACATAGTGCAGCAGCTGGCAGCCTCGCATGCTCATATAGGGCAGACTGCCCTGCGATCGAAAATGTTTTTAGACATCTCATACCTCCTTTTCTGGGAACATCCCAATCGCCCACACGAATGCTGGAGGAAACGGACTCCCTCTCGGCAATTGAGGCACCCCGCGTTGCCCACCGACCGTGCGAGACCGCGTTACTGAGTAAATTTGGATTATGCTGCTTTCCTTGGTGGAGCGAGGTCACCCTGTGGATTTTATATTTTCCCATCACACTGCGGTATTCCACGCAATGAGGCCGCTGAGGACGAAGTCACGATTGCACGATCCCTCTCGCAGGACTGCGTCAGTGCCTGGCACGTGGACTTCCTTACCGCCCCCAAGAGGTTATAATGGAAGGATGTCCAGGAGGAAAAGGGAGCCGCGCACACCGCGTGAGAGGCGGCTGTCGGTGTGGCGAGGACTCTGTTCCTGGTGTTGACCCGGACATCGGTCCCCGAGTGGCGGCACTGCGCACAGGCGCGATGCGACTCTTGCCCACTCTTCGACAGGCCTGCACGCGCCCTGCGGATCACAAGGAACCCTCTGTGTCGGTGGTGCCGTTCCTCCCTCACTGCGGTGACCGGCCCGCCTCTGCCTCCGCCGGAACCTCTTCCCGACGTGAGCACCGCAACTCCTTGCCTGCCAGCGAGCGGCGGATTGACGTCCTCCTGCCCAACCTGCGGCAAAGTGCACTTGTCCGTCCACAGTATGAGGGCACATGCCCGACGTGCTCAGCCTGGCGTTATAATAGTTTGCGAGGGCCTCCCATGCGGATGCCACAATGGCGCCACCGTCTTCTTAACAGGTGCCTCGCGCGCAGGTCGCCACCGAAGTTGCCAAGCATGCCAGCAGGCAAGACACACAGGAAGCACAAAGGCGGGTACTCGAGATGGACCAGGCTTTTCCGCCACCGCCTAATCACAGACGCCACGGGCTGCTGATCCCCGACGGACCACGGGAGACTCTGCCTCATCCACTGCGGGAATGCCCTCGTCGTTGGGAACTGGGACTGCGACTGTTTGTGACTGCCCCAACCCGCACGACGGCCCGTTTGCGACGGAATACTTGCCACTTTTGTACGGACGGCCTTTGCGCTACTCACTCGTTATTGTAGCAGCATACAACCAAAACAGGATAACAAGTTGCTTTGTGATGAATATTGGCTGCACTTCCCGTGGACCAACAATCCACGTGGTGTGCGGGGATCTCCTTTTTTATTGCTACTTTGCTTTTGTGTTGCTGTGTGCGCTGCACCTTCTTGTGTGTGTGCGCACCCTCCGTGAGGGGCGCAGACGCGACGGACCGCTCTCGCCGTAAGTACATGCGGTGGGGCCTTGTGTGCCGCTCCTGTTTGCTTCTCCCTCTTCCATCTGTGTGTTGGTGTTGCGGCAGGGCTGTGTGTGTGTGTGTGCCTGTTGCCGTGGATTGGAGTGTGTGTCGTGCGTGGTGTGCGGCGTACGGTGCATGCCTGGCTGCTGCCCTCTCCTCATGTGGTGTGCCCTCTGCGTGTGTGTCTGCCGTACCTATCGTCTCCCCTGTTGCTCTCCATGTCCCTCACTGTGCAGATCAGCTCCACACCACTGAACGACCACACTCACGATGATGACGTGCCGTCTGCTGTGCGCCCTGTTGGTGCTCGCCCTGTGCTGCTGCCCGTCCGTGTGCGCGACAGGGAGTGAAGATACCGATAAAGTTACTACCGATACCAATATACCGGCCGTTCCACCTGGTTTGCCACTTGAAGAGGTGGGTCATCCAGGGTTGTTAAGTGAGCGGTCCGATACAGAGGATGGAATAGCTGGCGGAGAGGGGCCAGATTCGACAGCTTCAGGACCGAAACTAAGTAACGGGATCGATAAGGTACACGGGAAAGGTACGGACAGTACGCCAGGACCAGAAAGTAGCACGCGTCCACTTTCCTCCGTACCGTTGGCGAATCCGGCTGACGCTTCTGCTGAGACCACCACGACTAATACGACCATAACAAAAACACCGACTACGACAACGACGACCACCACAACAAAGGCACCAACAATGACCACCACTACAACACATGCACCAAGTACTACGACTACAGAGGCGCCAACTACGACTACCACCCACGCACCGTCACGTCTTCGTGAAATCGACGGCAGCCTCAGCAGCTCTGCGTGGGTGTGTGCCCCGCTGGTGCTCGCCGCATCCGCGCTGGCGTACACCACTCTGGGCTGAAGAGGTGTGTGCGGGCTGTGCGTGCCAGCACCCAACCGCGGGGTTTGTGCGCGTGTGTTGTGGTCCACTGTATAAAATAATAGAAAATAATGATTGTGTTTTGCTTCACTTGCTTCTGCTGCCGTGCTGTGTGCTCCGCGTTGTGCTCCGCGTTGTGCCCCGTTGAACGCATCGCGGACACACTCATACGCATGCGCACTGGAGCCCTGGGTTTGTTTTTCTTTTTTAATTTCTGTTTTTTAATTATTGTTTTTTATTGCTTTTTAAACCTGTGGTTTGCGGGGCGGTGTGCGAGCTCTGCAATCGTACTGATTCCATCTGTCTCGTGGTGTGTGCGCTGCTGCTGCTGGGGTGCTGCCATTTGTTGCTGTGCGGTGGCTGTGCGTGGTGTAGCGGCTGTCTCTCTTTTTGTTTTCACATGCTATCGCAGGTTGGCTCCGTAGCGTTAGGCGGCTCCACTGTTCGTGATGATGACTGGCCGTGTGCTCTGCGTCCTGTTGGCTCCTGCAGTGATGCGCAGCTGCTCGTGCGTGTGAGTGACGGCTGCTGCGACGGGGTGCGTGTGCGGCCGCGGGTGATGGCGCGGTGACTGCTGGGCACGCGGAAGCTGTGATGGCTGCGGAAGGTGGACCCGTGGCCGGTGGCTCTGGACGAAAGGGAATGTGAACTCTGAGGACAATAGCAATCAGGAAGACGAGGAGGGTAGAGGAAGCACCGCGGGTGAGGGCCACAATCCCACCTCGGGAGGACCACTCACTGCTCCGACGAGGCAGGACCAATCCAGCAGCGACCCACTGCGAAGTAACACTTGCAATCCGTCTGGCACTGGCAGCGCGTCTGCTGCTCGGATGCGTGCAAGTGGACCGGAGTCTTTGGGCGGAGGGCACGCTGCAGGCACAGCATCCCCACGCTCCGACGCATCTCAGCAGGCAGCAGGTGGAGTGCATGCTGGTGGCGGGAGGACCTCCCAGGGCAGTCAGGCCTCGGAACAAACCGTCACGGGACAGTCACAGGTGCCAGGGAAGGCGAAGGAAGCACCGCAGGGCGATGAATGAGGAGAACCCGGAGCGCAACACGAAGCCGACCAAACCACAAAAATGACTGTGGTGAATTGTTGCGCAAAAACAGCGGTGGAACAGGAGAGCCGCCAGCGGGATCGCAAGATGCACCACGTCTCTATAGTGGCGGGAATGCTCATTATTATTATTATTTTTCCCTGCTCTTACCGACATGTCTAGCCACACGATGTCACCAGGATGCCGAGGAGGTGGTCGAGCAGCGACATGAGTTTCCTGCTACGAGGCAGCTGCCATTGGGAGAACCTTTTGGTGCAAGGGTCCTTCCTAATGCCCAGCCGTTGGCGCACAGCCAGAGCGTCTGTACATTCTGGAAGCAGATGGTGCAGTGTTTTCTGCGGGCTAATTGTTGCGCTTGTGGAGGCTGGCTGATCCTGCGGTAGCAGTGATTGTCTCCTGGCACTGCTGCTGCGGTGCCTATCAGCGTCTGGGTTTTGTGCGCAGCGATTTCTCTGCGGTGCTTTTTTTGTGTGGGGAAGACCGTGTCGCAGCAATCGCGGTGGAGGTCGGGAAGCGGTGGAGGGCATTCCGGATGAAAGCACCGACAGTGGCTGATGTGGTTCGTGTGTCCCACCAGTGTGGCGTCACAGTGCGGGCATTTCTTCTTCCGACGCTGTGTGGAGGGCCGTTTCTCCACAGGCGGTGCATCGGCCTCCCTTGTCGTCGGGGGAACAGCTTCCGTCCCGCTGCAGTGGGATCTTTGTTGGAGCGCATGAGAGCGGAGTGTTCCGGTGAGATGTTGCAGAAACGGCGTTGGTTCGTGCAATCTCTCACAGTCCAGTACAGGCGACCCCAGAGCTCGGATTCCCCGCACCCTGCTCATGCAATGTTTGTCCGTTCCTGTTGGTCAAGAGCTTCCTGAGTGATCAGGTGCTTGCCGCCTGGATCTGATGGCCTGGCGCCGCCAAGCAGGTAGTGGTGGGTGTCCTGATGCATGGTGCTACGCCACTTGTTGGTGAGCTGGGTGTTAATGCATGGCAGCAGGTCCGTGCGCTGTATGGGTGCTATTCCATGCTCCGTGTATTGCCCGGTTGCCGTGGTCTGCGTCGCATGATCTGCAGGCTCGTTAACATGTACTCCGCGATGTTCGTAGCAAAACTGCAGCTGCACTGACCAGCCGGCACGCGTCAGCGACAAGAGACGCTGCCAGAGCCGATCCTCCGTCCAGTCGGTATGACTGCGCGGGCCCTTGGTGACGGCGGCTAGAAGAGACTGACTGTCTGTCACCACATGCAGGGTTTTTGCCTGTGCTGGATACGATAGACACTCAGCCTTTCCATGGCCGGGAGAAGTACACGGGATTCCGTCGTGCGGCTGCATGGGCGTGTACCGCAGTTGGTACTGACCTTCTCTATTATCTTCGAGGAATGCAGGGATGAGAGCAGTATGCCAATCCCGGCTGAATTGGGGACGTCAACACCGCCATCCGTTGCTAGTATCCACGGTCCCCAGCGATGATGTTGCGCCTTGTCGCGGTGTTGAGGCTTTGGTTGCGTATAGGAACTCCGCAGCAGGGCGTTGCTGCGAGCACGACGGAGACCAAGGTGACTTCACCCCTCGAGAAGGTTCCACGCCATGCCCGGTGTGGGGAGGTGAGGCGGTCTGCCTGCAGACTGTCGGACAGAACTGCACGACCGTTTCGCAGCGGTCACTCCGTTGATATCACCCGTTGCGGTGACGTCCACAAGAACCCTGGCCCGAGGAGGATGGCTACATCAATATTTGGCAGCTTAACATTGCAGGCCTCTCGTCCGTGAAAAATATTGCATTTGCTGCGCGATTGGAGCAGTGTCCACCTGACATCGTTCTTCTGCAGGAAATAAGTAACCGTGGTGACGTTGCGACGAAATTATCTGGCCATAATGACTACCTTCAGGCCCGCACTGGGCGCGGTGGTGGTGTTGCCGTTCTGGTGCGCCACTCTCTACCGTGCGAGCGCCTGTCGCTCCCTGGCACTGACCTCCTGGAGACCATTGCTGCCCGTGTATTTCCACCAGGCTGTCCCAGCATTTGCGTGGCGAATCTCTACAACCCTCCCACAACAATTGGTCAATAATCCGCATCTATCAATATCGTTTGTCGCTTGGGCCCGAAGAGATTATCGCGGGTGACCCGAATTTACATCGTGAACTCTGGGACAGTCATATATAACATCAACGACTGGAGGCGATAATTTCGCCGCTGTTCTAATCGATATGGATTTTGGGCTGGCAAATGACCCGACGCAGGCAACACGGATCACACATCGTAATGCCTCGTCCCCTGACGTGACTGCGTATTGCGCCCTACGCATCTCCCACTGGACATTCGCCCATTACATAAACTCGGACCACTGCTGAATATCTTACTTGGTAGAGATGGATGATGGCACTCCACGACTAGCAAACACGCTGCCTTGACGGAAGGAAGCCACCTTTGCCCTGCGTAAAGCGGGTTGGCATGCTTTTACATCGTTGTGTGAAACCCTCCTTGCCACCGCGTCCACATGGTTGGATCCTCGCGGAGGCATCTTACGAGCAGCTGAGCGCCATATCCCGCGCGGCAGCCATGACAGCTCCAAAAAAGATATGGACGCACGAAATGGAACAAGCCGAGTCCGCCGCCGAAGCAGCACACGAAGCACACACATTGCCTCACCTGGAGACAGCCTACTTTGAGCCGAATGTACCCGAAAAAAGGGAGGAACGAAATCAAGCCTTACGCCGTTGCTCCGCTGTGCTTCTGGAAGCCCGCGCGAAAGGACTTGGAGCCTCACCCAGCCCGAGCTGGCGATATCTTCACGGCATGGCGGCGCCGCACCCTCATCCTCTGGAATCGGTTGTGCTCCGCACTGAACTTGGCCGCGTATGCGCCCTGCCTCGGCAACAGGCAAATCTGCTTGTCTGTCATTTTTTGCGGTTTCACGTGCCATACCGCCTTATGCTGCTGCTGCTGCTCGCTGCACTCCTTTGGTTCCTGGTGGCTGGGAAATGGATCGGCCTTTCCCGCCGTATGAAATTGACGTGACCATCCGTGGCTCTTTGCTTGGCTCAGCCTCTGGCTCCGACGACATGTTGAATGAATTCCTGCACCGTCTCGTGCCCGTCGCGTGTGGCACACTTAGAACGATGATCCACAACTCCTTCGCAAATGGCAGCCTGCCTGGCTCCTGGAAAATGGGAGACGCTATTCCTATCCCCAAGCCTGGGAAGGATCCATGCCGCCCAGAGAGTCACAGACCTATCACGCCACTCTCTGTTTTACCAAAGTTAACCGAAGGAGTGATTCACCGCCGTCTGTCAGCGTTATTGCCGCACCACCCACGTCAATTTCGGATTTGCACCTCCGCGTTCTATCTCGGACGTGGTGGCACTTGTTATCGACAAATTGCTCGTGGATTGAATGAGTTTAGCATTGTGGAGTATGAGCGCCCTGGAGACGACGCCCCACACGACACGCTCGTCGCCATCGCTCGCTCGTAGTTTTGATTGATTTTTCGACTGCGGTCGACACCACTGACCATGGGAAGTTATTCTGCATGCTTGACAGACTTCAGCGCCTTGGCCCTCGAACCAAACGCTGGCTGCACAACTACCTGCGGGGCCGCTATGTTAGGGTATGCACTCGCGAACAGCACTCCCGGAAACGACTGGCCTCAGCCGGAGTACTGCAAGGCGGCGTCCCGGGACCCCAACCCTTCCTCTACTGTGTGGGTGGTCTGCTGCGCCGCATGGGCAACATCTATTCTGCCTCCGCTTTCATGTACGCTGACGAACACACACTTGTTGCCTCAGGTGCGGACATCCATGCCTGTGCTGCGGCAATGCGACCGCTCTTTTCTCTTGTGGCCACATGGGCTGCCGAGCACGGCCTAAAAATCAACGTTGATAAGAGCGAAGCTGCTCTATTCTACATCTCTTCACACACACACGGTCTGACGAGGACATGGTCGATCTCCATCTTGTTAGCGGGAACCTACGTATTCAGTCACGCCCAGTGCGCTTACTGGGCAGCACGTTCGATCGACTTCTCAATTGTGTTACGCATGCTTCCACCGCTTCAAAGAAGACCATGCCACGCCGCTATCAGCCGCGACTGGTCGCAGAGGCGGGCGCGTCCCATCACACCATGCGATCCTTTTTGATTGGATACGTTCATAGTGTGCTATTTCATAATGGCGAGGCAATTGTCCCGTGACTTGCCCCCACTCACCTCCATAATATGGAAGTACGGTACCGCGACGGTAGCAAAACATTCTTTGCCTGAGCGCATCTACGGAAGACACATCTGTCTATTTGGAAGCCAATATTCTTCCGCTCCGGAAGGTACTCTGACGTCGTGCACTCACACAATACGAACGCTATATACGCTTCCATGATCACGAGGATTTGCGTTCCCTTATGTACTCGGAACCTATGCCGCCGTCCATGCATGGGAAGGCAGCGACATCGATCCCGCTTCCGAGAGATGCTGTTATTAATGAATTGCCACGCGTCTGTGACATTATTGGGACACCCCACAACCACATTTGCGCGCCTCTTGCCCAACATCGAATTTTTCCCTGAGACACTGTGATCTGCAACAAAGTGAGATTTTATCAGCCACTCTTTGCCAAAGACGCCTCTGACGATGTCAGGCGCACGGCTTTTGATTCTACTCACTCCTCTTTGTGGGATTGTGACTTTGAATAGTGGACGGACGGTCCTTCATATCTCGCTGCACTCGCATCTGGATCCGCTGCGCTATTATATGACTCCACCACGACAAATGATCTCCCTGTGGAGGTACATAGTGCAGCAGCTGGCAGCCTCGCATGCTCATATAGGGCAGACTGCCCTGCGATCGAAAATGTTTTTAGACATCTCATACCTCCTTGTCTGGGAACATCCCAATCGCCCACACGAATGCTGGAGGAAACGGACTCCCTGTCGGCAATTGAGGCACCCCGCGTTGCCCACCGACCGTGCGAGACCGCGTTACTGAGCAAATTTGGATTATGCTGCTTTCCTTGGTGGAGCGAGTTCACCCTGTGGATTTTATATTTTCCCATCACACTGCGGTATTCCACGCAATGAGGCCGCTGACGACGAAGTCACAATTGCACGATCCCTCTCGCAGGACTGCGTCAGTGCCTGGCACGTGGACTTCCTTACCGCCCTCAAGAGGTTATAATGGAAGGATGTCCAGGAGGAAAAGGAAGGCGCGCACACCGCGTGACAGGCGCCTGTCGGTGTGGCGAGGACTCTATTCCTGGTGTTGACCCGGACATCGGTCCCCGAGTGGCGGCACTGCGCACAGGCGCGATGCGACTCCTGCCCACTCTTCGACAGGCCTGCACGCGCCCTGCGGATCACAAGGAACCCTCTGTGTCGGTGGTGCCGTCCCTCCCTCACTGCGGTGACCGGCCCGCCTCTGCCTCCGCCGGAACCTCTTCCCGACGTGAGCACCGCAACTCCTTGCCTGCCAGCGAGCGGCGGATTGACGTCCTCCTGCCCAACCTGCGGCAGAGTGCAATTGTCCGTCCACAGTATGAGGGCACATGCCCGACGTGCTCAGCCTGGCGTTATAATAGTTTGCGAGGGCCTCCCATGCGGATGCCACAATGGCGCCACCGTCTTCTTAACAGGTGCCTCGCGCGCAGGTCGCCACCGAAGTTGCCAAGCATGCCAGCAGGCAAGACACACAGGAAGCACAAAGGCGGGTACTCGAGATGGACCAGGCTCTTCCGCCACCGCCTCATCACAGACGCCACGGGCTGCTGATCCCCCGACGGACCACGGGAGACTCTGCCTCATCCACTGCGGGAATGCCCTCGTCGTTGGGAATATGGACTGCGACTGTGTGAAACTGCCCCAGCCCGCACGACGGCCCGTTTGCGACGGAATACTTGCCACTTTTGTACGGACGGCCTTTGCGCTACTCACTCGTTATTGTAGCAGCATACAACCAAAACAGGATAACAAGTTGCTTTGTGATGAATATTGGCTGCACTTCCCGTGGACCAACAATCCGCGTGGTGTGCGAGGATCTCTTTTTTGTATTGTTACTTTGCTTTTGTGTTGCTGTGTGCGCTGCACCTTCTTGTGTGTGTGCGCACCCTCCGTGAGGGGTGCAGACACGACGGACCGCTCTCGCCGCATGTACATGTGGTGGAGCCTTGTGTGCCGCTCCTGTTTGCTTCTCCCTCTTCCATCTGTGTGTTGGTGTTGCGGCAGGGCTGTGTGTGTGTGTGCCTGCTGCCGTGGATTGGAGTGTGTGTCGTGCGTGGTGTGCGGCGTACGGTGCATGCCTGGCTGCTGCCCTCTCCTCATTTGGTGTGCCCTCTGTGTGTGTCTGCCGTACCTCTCGTCTCCCCTGTTGCTCTCCATGTCCCTCACTGTGCAGATCAGCTCCACACCACTGAACGACCACACTCACGATGATGACGTGCCGTCTGCTGTGCGCCCTGTTGGTGCTTGCCCTGTGCTGCTGCCCGTCCGTGTGTGCGGCAGAGGATAAGTCTCAAGCCGCCACCTTTTCCCAGACGACCACGACGACGACCATAACAAAACCACCGACTACGACAACGACGACCACGACAAAGGCACCAACCACGACGACCACCACCACTACAACACAGGCACCAAGTACTACGACTACAGAGGCGCCAGCTGTGTCGACCACCCGCGCACCGTCACGTCTTCGCGAAATCGACGGCAGCCTCAGCAGCTCTGCGTGGGTGTGTGCCCCGCTGGTGCTTGCCGCATCCGCGCTGGCGTACACCACTCTGGGCTGAAGAGGTGTGTGCGGGCTGTGCGTGCCAGCACCCAACCGCGGGGTTTGTGCGCGTGTGTTGTGGTTCACTGTATAAAATAATAGAAAATAATGATTGTGTTTTGCTTCACTTGCTTCTGCTGCCGTGCTGTGTGCTCCGCGTTGTGCCCCGCATCCGTCACGTTGAACGCATCGCGGACGCACTCATATGCATGGCACTGGAGCCCTGGGTTTGTTTTTCTTTTTATTTTAATTTCTGTTTTTTAATTATTGTTTTTTATTGCTTTTTAAACTTGTGGTTTGCGGTGCGGTGTGCGAGCTCTGCAATCGTACTGATTCCATCTGTCTCGTGGTGTGTGCGCTGCTGCTGCTGCTGGGGTGCTGCCATTTGTTGCTTTGCGTGGTGTAGCGGCTGTGTCTATCTTTTTGCTTCCCTCTCTGTTGACGGGGAGTTAGTTTGTGCTGAAGGCTGCACGCAAGAGACAGGAGTGATGGCGATGAGGATGACTGGCCGTGTGCTGCTGGTGTGTGCCCTCTGCGTGCTGTGGTGCGTGTTTTCTTCGGTGTCGGCCGATGCCAGGGATGATTGTGAGGATTCCGGCCAAGCTGTTGTTGGGAGTGTTGGTCAACCTTCTTCCCCAGTTGGGGGTCATGGTGATAATGGAGTTGTCACTGATGGAAGTTCTCTGAGCAGTGGAAGTCACTTGCCGGGTTCTGCTCCTACGGGTGGCAAACCCCCACTTCCCGGTGTTGGTGTGGGTGTGGGTTTAAATGAATCTAAGGATGCCTTAACTCTTGCACAAGAGGGGCGTGAAGTCGTACAGGATCAGCATGAATTAGTGCCTCAAGTTTCGCATCACACTGATGCGGGAACAGGAGGGAAAAGCGATCCCAATGCGCCAGAACAGTCGCCCAACGCAAAAACAGAATTAGAAAATGGTGGTGGTGTTTGTGGTGATGATGCTGCAGCTGCGGAGGGTGAAGTGAAAACCACCGTGAATGAAGGACAATTGGGCGGATCTTCCACGAGCGACAGCCATTCACCAGCAGCAGACCGAGGGTCGAGGGAGCAGGAAGGCACAGTGGAACAAGCAGCATCAACAGCGGCATTGACGCCAGTGGTGGGGCGAGAAACACCACCTAAGGGGGACACAAAAGAGGACTCACCGGAGGATAAAGCCGCAACTGGCGCAGGTATCACACAAGGTATACCAGCTGTCAGTCAACAACAAACACATTCTCCATCCACCTCTACAACTGGAAATGGTCTGACTTCCACTCTAGGAAAAGGGCGCGCTGCGGAGGACATTTCCAGCAATAACGAACGATCCGGTAAAGCACTACTGCAAGAAGGAGCTCAACACGAAACTGTTGCTGGCAGCCAATCGCAAACAATACCAGCAGCCACCGCCCGTAACACACTTGGCACAACCCTTCCTGGCGACAGCGACAACAGCACCACGATAACTACAGCCGTGCGGTCTGACACTGGCACAGAAGGCACTCCAACCAGCAATCATCCGAACCGACAATCCATTGAAGGCGCCACATCACCCGGCATGAATTCCGATGGTGAAGCTGCATCAGCCAAAAAATATGATACGGTATCTCAGAGTGCAGGATCCTCAACAGCGCCAACCACAAACAACAAAACACGTGACACAGCTTCTCATGGCAACAGTGACGGCAGCACCGCGGTCTCCCACACCACCTCCCCTCTTTTGCTTCTTGTTGTTGTTACCTGTGCGGCTGCTGCTGCGGTGGTGGCCGCGTGAGAGTGAGTGAGAGAGAGCCATGCACCGCCCGCACACACGCTCGTCCTTCACTCACTCTCTGTGTGTGTCCCCTTGCATGGACTCTCGCCCTCACCTCATCCCACGGAGCACACACATAATGTGCCCATTGTATATATGCATGCACACCCATGCAGGCCCGTTGGTGCTCTCTTTTGCACGACACGCACCGCTGCCGTCCTGCTTGGCTGCATGGGCGGAGCACCGTAACTGTTTCTGTTTTGTTTCCATTGCATTGAGTGGGCGACCTTTCTCTCTCTCTCCCTGTGTGCGTGTTTTGCTTTACGGGAGCAATGAAAATGTGAGCGCTGGTCGTCCCACGCTTCGGCTTTTTGTTTTGTTTTATTGTCTTACTTGTGTTGTGGTTGAGTGCATCCATTCCGCGGGCTGCGTGTGTGTGTGTTTGTGTATGATGATATGAGTAATTTGCGTGTGTGCTATCTGCCATTCTCTGCCGTTGCTTTCTTTGGACTCTCTTGTGCCGCACAGCTGCTCTGCAAGTATAGGCGCTGAAACACACACACACACACACACGATTCTGGCTGCTCCGGCCCTTGAGATGGGGGATGAAGGGAGCCTGCAACGCTTCTCTTTGTCGTGCTGCGGGCGTGGGATGTTGGCGGCGTGCAACAGTTGACTAATGTGGTTTTTCATTGACGGTGCCTCGGATAGGTGCGGAGCGATTCCCGCCCAGCGGCTGGAGGTGCCTCTCCCGCTGTGTATTTGACGGCGGGGGATTCCCCCGCTGTGCGAGGTGATGTGCGCCGGCGGCGGAGCGGGTGTGATGGAGGAGACAACGGTGAAATGGCTGGCGGCGGTAGCGCGTGGGTGCTGCGGAGGGCGGCTGTGGCCTTTTGCCTCCCGCTGGTTATTTTATGTGTGGGCGTCGCCTGGTGTATGCTGCCGCGTGGCAGAAGCGCCCGCCGTGGCTCCTGCTGCTGGTGGTGACCGTCGCTGTGTGTTCCCGGTGCAGTCATCTTCCTTCTGCTGTTCCGTGTGTCTGTGTGCGTGAGTTGTTGTTGTTGGGAGTGACTGCGGCGGGGATGGTGATGCCACTCACAGTGTGGATGGGTGGCTGTGCTCGCTGTCTCACCTCTTTGCTTGGCTTGTTTTCTCTTCTCTCTCCGCCTCACGCACACACACGCTAGGAAGGAAGTTACGACTAAACGCTAATCGCCACTGTGAAATTCGAGGGCACTGAAAGGACCAACAACAGCACACACACCGCCCACACACACATATTTCTATGCTCTCACGTGTTGCTGCAGTGAAGGCACCCCGCACACACAACCGTTGCCTTAACACCGGATCGAGCGGAAGGAGGAGGGAAGGAAGAGAGAGTGAGCGGCAGAGGCCCAACATGTCCCGGCGTGTGTTTACTTCCGCGGTGCCGCTCCTCCTCGTCGTGATGATTTGCTGCAGTACTTGTGGAGCTGCGCAAGGTGAGGAGGATCAGTCGTCTGATCCAAAGTTTCAATGGAAAAGCATCACTGATGGCGTGACTGTGGAGTCGTTTGGAATTCCCGGCATTTTGAAAGTTGGGAGTGACGTATTTGCCGTTGCCGAGGTGCAGTGCAAGAAGGATGGAAACAACGTCTTTACTGGCATTGCATCCGAACTTCTCACGATAAAAGACGATAACAAACCGGAGGAAGCGCTTAAGAATGCCAGAGTGATACAAGTTCTGGAGGAAGGCGCTTCCCCAAGCAAGAGAGTAGATGTGAGCCGACCGACAGCAATTGTGGATGGAAGTGATATTTACATGCTTGTTGGAAAATACAGCCGGAATGCTGCTGCTGGTGCTCGGGAGAGTGCTGCAGCTCAATCGGGACTTTTGCTGGTGAAAGGGACAGTCAGTGATGAAGGAAATGACAGCGAAAAAAAAAACCAATGGAATGTGAACCAGCTACCGGTCGGCACTTTATCTGAGGGCGAACACGATTCCTGGATGCAGTTGATTGGAGGCGGTGGATCGGGTGTTAAGATGAAGGACGGTACGCTTGTGTTCCCAGTGGAAGGCACAAAGACAACGACGAAGGATGGTGGCACAGAAGAGGATGAAAAGACCGTCTCACTGCTCATACGCTTCTCGGATCCTGAGATTTGGACGCTGTCGAAGGGGATGTCTGATGATGGCTGCGGTGATCCCTCCGTGGTGGAGTGGAAGGACAAGCTCATGATGATGACAGCGTGTGATGATGGCCGCCGCAGGGTGTACGAGTCCGGTGACAAGGGGAATACGTGGACGGAGGCACTCGGGACACTCTCGCACGTGTGGGGCAACAAAAAACGGGACGGAGAAGGGAAGGCCGTTGGGAGCGGGTTCACCACAGCGACTTTTGGCACTGGAGCTGAGCAGAAAAATGTGATGCTCGTTACTCTGCCGGTGTATGCCAAAGAAACACAAAATGAAAATAAAAAGAGCGAACTCCATCTTTGGCTGACGGACAATACGCACATTGTTGATATTGGGCCGGTATCTAGGGAGGATGACGAAGATGTTGCCGCCAGCGCCCTGTTGTACAAAAGTAGTGAAAGTACAACTGATGAGGAGAAGAAGGAGGAGTTGATTGCACTGTACGAGAAGAAGAAGGACGAGAAGGTCGATGTGTATACATCATCAAACAGCCTTTGGTCTGTGCGTCTGACCGCGCAGCTGGAGCGGGTGAAGGAGGTTCTGAAGACCTGGAAGGAAGCGGACAAACATGTCTCCCAGCTGTGCCCTTCTGAGAGCGCTGTGCAGGCTACCTCACCTGACAGTGCCTGCAAAAACACTAAGATCACGGATGGGCTGGTCGGCTTTTTTTCCGGCAACTTCTCTGATAAGACATGGAGGGACGAGTACCTCGGGGTGAACGCCACAGTAAAGAAGGGAGCGAAAGAAGGAGTGCCAGCAGCGGTAGCAGAGAAAGCAGAGTCTTCTGATGGAGTGACTTTTCGGGGAGCGTGGGCGGAGTGGCCCGTTGGCAGTCAGGGGGAGAATCAGCTGTACCACTTTGCGAACTACAACTTCACTCTTGTGGCGACGGTGTCCATCGGCGGTGAGCCGAAGAGTGGCAGCGTTCCATTGTTGGGTGCGCGTTGGGAAGGCCAAGGAGAAAACAAACTTTTTGGACTGTCGTACGACAGCGGAAAGAAGCGGGCAGTGCTGTGCGGTGGCGGACAGAACAAGGAGCACAGCAGCACTTGGGGGCCAGGGAAAACGCACCAAGTGGCCATTGTGCTAAAGAACGAAAAACAGGGCTCTGCGTACGTCGATGGTAAAAGTGTGTGCGAGAATGTGCAGTGCCAATTGGAAGGTAAGGAAGATAAAAAGATCTCACACTTCTACATTGGAGGGGATGGAGGCAACACAGAGAGCCAAGAAGACGTGTCTGTGACGGTGACGAACGTCCTGCTGTACAACCGCCCGTTGACTTCCGAAGAGATTGCATGGCTTGCCAAAAATACAATTACTATTCCGAAGCCGGAAGATCCGAAGATATCGACGACACCTCCTCGTTCACCAGCGGTAAGTGGATTACCTGTGGAAGGAACCGTGACCCAGTCCAATTCTGCCGGGCAACTGCCGTCGGAGCAGGGACAGCCGAAGGGTAGCAATGGTGCGGGTGCTGGCGGCGCATCCACACCAGCGACGTCTACCGCCGCGACTTCTTCAGAAAAGGAGCCCGTAAACCAGCTGACATCTGGAACCTCTCCCAGTGGAAACAAAAATGTGGATGTCTCTTCCTCGTCTGACGCCGACCCAACGGTGGTGACAGGGAGTGGAGAAACGGTTCAGGGAGATGGATTACCCCAAACTCCTGAGGTGAGCGTCGGCTCTGGTGCGGATGGGGAGACGGCAGGAGGAAAAGATGTGCAGGGAGAGGAGGAAGAGGTCCAGCCACAGAACAGGGACGTGAATGCTGCGGCACTCAGCAGCAGCCTCGGAAAATTGTCGCAGGAGAATAACAACGATGGCGGCATCATGCGTGGGAGCGGACTGCTGCCGCTGCTGCTCCTTCTGTTGGGACTGTGGGGGTTTGCGGCTCTGTGAGGAGTGACTGGCTGCCGCGTGGGACACTTGCGACCTCCCGAGCACAGAATTGCGTCCATGAACTAACTCTTTCCCTTCAAATAATTTTTCATTTTTTGCTTATTTTAAAATCCTTTTGCTGTTTGCTTCTTTTTGGTTGATTTTACTTTTTTTTTCTAATCTCTCATCCCCTTATCCCTTCTTTTTTGCTTTTGGGGGCAATCACTATGGACGTTTTTTCTTTTCTGCTTTTCCCTCTTTTCAATTGCTTCTTGCTGCACTCTTCCTGTGAGGGGTGCCGTGTGTTTCCCGCCCAACTGCTCCACTCGCACACCCACCGACACGCTCATGACGACGGCCCTGTGCGCCTCGCCTGCTGCACGCATGAGGAGGGGCCGCGACAAACGGCGCGCTGAGGGAGCCGTGACGTGTGGGCGTGCGACGAGGGCCTGTGGGGCGGAGCACACATTTCTTTCCCTCTTGTTTTGTTTGTTTTTGCTGCCAGGGCTGGCAGACACCCGCAGCGCCACACCCACAGCCACACCCTGCCGCCGTGTATTTAAGATTTTTTGCTTTGTGTGTTTATTTCACGCGCCGGCAGTCCCTTCGGTGTCGGCCTCGTGAGCATTTCTTTTCCCTCCTGATGATTTCCTTTTTGCTGCGCTCACTCTCCCGATGGAGAGACGCGACTCCCGTAATGTCTGCGTGCTTCTCTCAGTCCCCACACACACGAGTGACTGTGCTCTGCGGGCCGCACTCACGCGCCGATGAGAGGGCTGAGGGGAGCAGCAACACGCAGATGACCCCATGAAATATAAACGATGTGCGGACACACATGGAGGGTCAGACGGTTGAAAGACATTTAAATATCTTCTAATTTTACTTTTGGACAAAATATATGCAGACAATTTGGTCTGGCCACACGGCAGCCGGCCGCTTTTTAAAATTTGTGTGGAACAGTAATGGACGATTTTTCTTTTTATTTATAATTATTTTGTGTGATGGGATTTGTATAGGACGAAGGGGAACGTTTTTTTGGTTTTAAATAAATCGTCTGTGAATTGCCGCTGCTCGGGCTGCAGTGCAGTGATGAGTTTGAGCGGTCTTCTTCTTGTTGTTTCTGCCATGCGTCTCTGCTGTACATTTTTTTGTGTCTCTCCACACACTCTGCTTCCTTTTTTTTTTCTTCTTTGCTTTGTGTTTCTGCAGGCACACACAACCAAACACACAAGATGCACATTGCAGTGGATTTGAATGCGTCTATTGTATCGCATGCTGGAGTTGCGTGTGGCGGCTGTTGTCTTCTTCCGTGGCCATGAAGAGAAGGGAGGAGGGAGAGGGAGTGCGCAGCCCGAGTCTCTTTTCCTGCGGGTGTGATGCACCGTGTGTGACTGCGTTGAGTTGGGCTCCGTGTTTTATTGAGGGCGGGATGGCTGGAAATTTTGTGCCGCGTCATGGATGGATGAGGGTTTGCTTCCGCGTGTGATTGGTGTGGTGGGTGCTTGCTCCGTGTGCGTTGTGTGGTGGCCGCGGGTTTTGGCCATTTCCCGTTGGCTGTAGAGATGAGCTGGGAGGATATGGTGGTGGTTGCTTTCTCCTGCTGCATGGTGGGTGGCTGCTGGCGTTGTGTGCCTTCCTTGCGTGGATGCCGTCTCGTGGTGTGTGAACTGTGCGGCTGGGCCTGCTGCCCTCTCCTCATGTTGTCTGCTCTCTCTCGCCGTATCCGCTGTGCTCCGTCCCTCTCCCTCTTGTTGCATTCTTTTTCTTCTGTCCCACAGATCAGTTCACTGAATTCGGCAACTCCACTACGGGTGATGATGATGATGATGACGATGGTGACGGTGCGGCGCCGTGTGGTGTGCGCCGTGTTGTTCCTTGGGCTCTTGTGCTGCTGCTACTTGTCCGTGTGTGTGTGACAGCTGCTGGGAGTGCTGGAGATGTATCTGGTGATGCGGATGCGGTGGTTGTGCCGGTGGATGTGTCGTGTCCTCAGAGTGACGGCAGCCTGAGATATCGTGTGCGTTGGTGTGTGTGTGGGCGTGGAAGAAGTGTTCCGCTGCCAGTGCTGAGGCTCAGCATGAAAATTATACTTCCAGTAGCCTTGATGTGCGCATGCATAGCAGGAATGGTGAGCTGGGTGCTGTGTGCCATGTGGCCAATGCGGTGTACACATGTAGCAACTGTGCTGCCAACTGTGCAACGGAAGAGGAAGGGGCCATCGTTGCCTTCACGATGAATGTGACGACACATAAATACGCCGGCCCTTATGAATTGTGGTGGCGTCAATTTTCTCCCGATGGAACCATCCATCCGCCTGCACGGAGCAGCGATGCTGACCAGACGGCATCTGTCAGTTGCCGCCACCCCGTGAAGGGAAGGATGACACAAAATCTGGTGGGACAACTGCGCTGCAAGTTAATGCTGAGCCGTCACGTCAACACGAGGATTGGCGACACTCTGCGGCAGCTGACGCACCCCGTACCGTCGATCCGAGTCCCGCATCCAACACGGCGACCAACACGTCCGAGACGAGGCCTGAGTTTGCCAGCAATCCGAGCGAAATGATGGTCCCGAATGCGTCCAAGAAGAGGCCTTCCTTTGCCAACGGTCCGAGAATAGTAGTGGCGTCGAATGCATCGGGGATCATGTCTGTCACTTATGGCGGCAGGGAACACGTTGCTGCGGATAACACGGACGAGGTGAATGAGCACAACGCCACTGGACACAAATCTCTTTCTTTAGAAAATATTGTTGCAGGCAGTGGATTTGTTGCTGAGGGTGATGCGTACGGATTGAGTCAACGCAATGCCTCTGGACACAAAAACCCCAATTGCGAGAATTCACCGCGCAGTATCCCGGAAACGATGTGAGTCCACACGACTGCTTTGTCCTGCTCAACGACGCGAAATTGACACTGGGAGAGTTAACTGTTGACGGCACTGTGCGTGTGTGCGTGTATTGTGTCTTGCTGCTTCTTCTGGGATTGTGTGGAGTTGTGGCGGTCTCCTGAGCCAAAGAGTGTGGAATTGCGACTCTTCACGGAGAACATTTGCCGCGTTGCATGCGTGTTTTCCTTTATTATTTATATTTTGCTTTGTTGTTTTTGTTGTTTTCCTGGAATGATAAGTGTCCTTGCTGTTCGTTTATTTAATGGTCGGTTGCTAAACACTTTCATGTGTGAAATGTTCCTCCTCTTTGTTTTTTTTTGCCCACACGCGGTGCCGGCCTCATTGCTGTGCGTCCCACGGACTGCACGAAAGGAGGAGCGGAGGAACAGGCCGGATGCCGCAATGAAATGTGAGGGATGTTGTGTGGGCTCGTGGAACAGTACGACCACTTTTTATTTTTAATTTTTGTTGCGCAGGCAATATGTATATACAGAAACACAAGGTCGTTGCTATTGCGTTGCATGGCACATAAAATAAAATTTCTGCCGAATTAAATTTCCCTAATTGTTTCTTTTGAGGGTCATGCCGGACTCTCACTTTTTCCTTTTCTTTGGTATCTCGCTGCAGCGTGCTTCCATTGTTACCGTATCCACTGTCGCTGTGTGTCTACTTGTCCCGTTGACTGTTCCTCTGCTGGCTTTGCTGTTTACATGTCCCCATTTCTTCTCTTTCTTTTCTGCTAGAGGCACCGATGTTCCGCGACGACGATTGTTTCTGTTCCCCATTGCGATGGCACGAGGGTGACTGGGCGCTGGCCTGCTGAGTATACTCGGAGGGGAGCGGATGGTGTGTGCAGTGCGTCACTGTGAGTCGTTCTGCCAATCCGTGGGTGCGAAGGGAGATAAAGGACTGCAGCGTGGACTTGGATCCGCCCGTCTCTTTCGTTGCGGCCGTGTGTGTGCTGAGCGCATGGCTCTATCTTGCGGTGCGAAGTGGATGGCATTGCTTTTTCGTGCCCTCGTATGTTTGTTGGGTTTCTCCTCTCCATGACACCGTCCTTTTGTGCGGGCGAGTGGAGGGAGCGGAGGTGTGAGGGAGTGAGGGTGGCCGTTGTTTCCGCACATTTGCTTCTTCCACACACGTGACACCTCTCGGCAGCCTCTCGCAGCACCAGGCCGTGGATCGAGAGGATGTGAGGGTCTGCTCCAAGCACAAGGACAACAAGATGCAGTTCATGACGGCCAACCTGATCCGCGGGTGGTTGCAGCGCATGGAGCACGTGCGACAGTACGCGTTCGGCGTTGCGCTCATCATTGGGGAGGAGAGGCGGCACGACATTGTGGCGCTGTGGGTGTTGCGCGGCCGGGGCATGCCGGCGATTGTGGAGGACGTGGAGGACACGGAGCAGCTGGAGTGGGAGGAGGTCGCGGACGTTGCGGCGCAGCGGGAGCGCATGACGGACTGCGTGTGGTGGGAGCGCATGACGATCCCGAGGCCTGTGCTGGAGGGGCGCGTGTTGAAGTGAGCGTGGCGTGCCTGTGAGGGCCTGAGGAGAGGGAGTAACGGTAATAGTAACTGTGGGGGTGTGAAGAACGAGGCAAGGGCGAGGAGCGCTTCTCTTTTTTTGTTTTGATTGTTTTTGCGAGACGCTCACGTAATTGTTGTTGTTGTGGTGCGTGACTCTCATTGCTGGATGGGACGGTGCGTGGCTGTGTGCCTTGTTTTTCTTACTTTTGCTTTTGCTTTCCGTTGACGGGGTGTTAGTTTGTGCTGAAGGCTGCACGCAAGTGACAGGAGTGATGGCGATGATGGCTGGCCGTGTGCTGCTGGTGTGTGCCCTCTGCGTGCTGTGGTGCGGTGCCGGCGGTAGATGTGACGAGGAGGGGACAGCAGCTCGTGGGAGTGGTGGTGGACCTCCGCTGGCATCAAAACAACCTGAAACGCCTCGAGTAGGCTCCGAAGGTGTAAAAAATGGAGTAACCGTTGCTAAAGAAAATGTAATACCCACACCTCCCCTTCCTATAGATGGGGATGCGGAAGTTGATGAAGATGAAGATGATGACGACGATGATAATGATAATGATGCAGATGGTGAAGAAGAAGATAATGAGACGGGTGAGTCAAAAGAAAAAAGTACTGAAGGGCAGATTAATAAAGGAGGAAAAGTTCCACCAGACTCAGATTCCAGGGAAAAGAATTTAATTGGAAGCAGGCAGGAAAAAGACCAATCAATTGTACCTGCAGGGGACATTTCTCATTCCAAAAGTCAGGAATCAAATGCCAATTCTACGCAAACGGAAGTTGAAGGAAAGAAGGACGCCGACAAGAGACCACCATCAGCAGAGAACGCACTCACAACAGTTAACGGAGAGAACACACTGCCTGAGGGCATTGCGGGAGGAAATCCTCCATCGCCTCCAGAAGACAGTGTTGCTTCCCGTGAAAAGGATGGCGAAGACACCACGAGTGAAGACGAGAAAAATGTTCCGTCGCCAGAGTCCGCAGCCACACCACAAAGCCACCGAGACGAAGTCTCAGAAGGGACTGGGGAAGATACAAAAGCAACGACAGTAACCACAAATACAACTGATACGACGAATAAACAAAACAGTGACGGCAGCACCGCGGCAGCTACAGTTGTGCAGCCTGAAGATGGAGTGGAAAGTGATCCGGCAAACAATGATTTGAGCCCACCATCCACTGAGGTCGCCGCACAGCTCAGCATGACTCCTGATGCTGAAGGCGCATCAAACAACGAGGAGAATACTGACACTCAGATTGCAGGAAATCCTAATGTAACAATCGCTACCGCCACTCAAACAAATGATACGGCGAAGCCTACCGACAGTGACGGCAGCACCGTGGCCTCCCACACCACCTCCCCTCTTTTGCTTCTTCTTTTTGTTGCGTGTGCGGCTGCTGCTGCGGTGGTGGCCGCGTGAGAGTGAGTGAGAGAGAGCCGTGCACCGCCCGCACACACACTCGTCTTTCACTCACTCTCTGTGTGTGTGTCCCCTTGCATGGACTCTCGCCCTCACCTCATCCCACGAAGCACACACATAATGTGCCCATTGTATATATGCATGCACACCCATGCAGGCCCGTTGGTGCTCTCTTTTGCACGACACGCACCGCTGCCGTCCTGCCTGGCTGCATGGGCGGAGCACCGTAACTGTTTCTGTTTTGTTTCCATTGCCTTGAGTGGGCGACCTCTCTCTCTCTCTTTCTCCCTGTGTGTGTGTTTTGCTTTACGGGAGCAATGAGAGTGTGTGCGCTGGTCGTCCCACGCTTCGGCTTTTTGTTCTGTTTTTATTTATTGTTTTATTGCTTTTCTTGTGCTGTGGCTGAGTGCATTCATTACCCTTTCTTTTGAATTAGTGGCTTGCTTTGACTGCGGACGTTTAAATTGTTTTTTTTTGTATTATTATATTGTTCCTTTCGTGTTGAGAGAGTGTCAGCCTCTTGTATCCTTGTCACACTACCAAGTTTTTTTTCTCGATATACGCCATGCGTCCGTTGTTCCACGTTACTCTGCGGCTTGCATTGCTTTTGGTTCTGCTTGTGATGATGTCTGCGTTGTGATTTGTCGGCGGATGTCTCGTTGTCAGCCTGACGTATCCTTCGTTTCTTGACGATTTGTTGCGTACCGACGGCGCGTGGGCGTCTCTGGTGATGGTGAGGGACGCGTGTCTCAGAGCGCAGGATGCGTCGCGGGTGTGCGGCGTCGTTTGGAAGGACCGATGGGTGACCATCCGCATCCAGGCGTCATCAACGGACTGTGAGGGCAGCATAAGGCACCGCGGCTTCTTTTGGCTTTGCACAAACAATTTATTGGACGGTGCGTTTGTTTTCAATCTTTTGCAGCTTTTGTGGGAGAAGGTGGAGGGTTGAGGGCATTAGGACTGAATTCTTTTGAGCGGCTGCGTTCCGTTGACTTGCGGCCGATCGTTGCACTCTTTTGGGGTCTGGCCGCCCGTCTCTTTTTTTGTTTACTTCCCACCGCAGCACGTGGAGGCCACTGATCCGAAGAACATTTGTTTAGACGGGTGTGAGCTGCTGCCGTGCGTGGTGCATGGACTATTTGATTGTGTGGGGAGGTGCATTGGAGTGACGAATACTTCTGTTTGGCATGTCGCGGTGTGTCGGAATGATGTTCGGAAGACTTGTGAGGGGTGTTGTTTGTATTTTGTGTGTCTTCTCTGGTGGAGCCGACATGTGTGCGGGGATTGTGGCATTGTTGGCTGACGGTCTCACGTCACTTTTCAGCATTCCTGGATGTGCTGAGGAATGACGGCTGGCGACCAGCGTGTTGGCACTGCCGGTGGGAATAAGTGCATGAGGAATAGGCCATTTTCTCTTTTCCGTGCTGGAGCCGATGAACTGGCACGAGGGCACCGGCTGCAGGCTGCTTGCCAGCACGTGTGAGCAGCGGATGCATGCACACACAGACGCTCATCGCAATGGCTTGTGCGATCACAGTGGCCTTTTGTGGCGTGCTTTTATGGACGTCAGCCCATCGAAGAATGTGTGAAGCAAACGGCTGACTGCACACGAGGAAAATAAGTGCGTGCACTGTGCCGTGTTTCAGCGTCGATGGCAGAGCGGCAGGAAGCCCGTGCTGGCAACTGAGATCTTTGCGTCGCGAGGGATGTCGGTGTTGATTTTGGGTCGTCGAGGGAGAAATGATTTTGCTGCTGCCCGTGTGTGTGTGGCCACTCCGGCAGAGGGCGAACGCAAACGGGAGGGATGCAGGCGCTGCGTGTGTGTGTGCAGGTGCCATGCAACAACGTCACAACAAACATGCTGCGACTCGGTGACCCTCACATCGTTGTGGTCCTCACGAGCGGCCCAGGCACGGCCCGCATCGATGCACTTAGTGGACGGAGTGAGGCATCTTTTGAGGCGCTGCAGGGAACAGGATGTGTTGACGCAGCCACGACGTGCATGGAGTGTCACGATGGCACAGTCAGCTGTGGCTGGTGGAATATTTACTTCTCGGAGGCAACAGAGAGAGAGCTGCTCCTGCTGCTGGCGTCGTTGCTGCCTTTTGTGGCCTCCCATGCCGATTATTGTCTGTCCGCTGGTCATGGGTGGTGTGCCTCCACTAGTGACGTCGTCTGCAGGCATTTCACAGCACCAGTGAAACACACATCACGTCGCATGCTTTGGCTGTGGATATGGTGTCGTGCATGCAGCCGGCATTATTTTGCCCGACTCCTTTTCACTGCTTTGCGACGAATAGATGCGTCCCCGCCCGAGTCATTCACTGCAGCTCCGTGTGTTGTGCTGCCAGCACAAGACTCTCTTGTTGTCTGGCGCCTGGCTGACAGTCAAACACCACTGCGTTGGGACATGCAAGGATGTGGACTGCCGCTCACGGTGTTGGGCACCGCTGTTTGGATGCGGCGGCCACACGAGCGGATGTATTGTGGCACAATCAAATGCGTGAAATACGCGGAGTCACAGCGGCTGCAATAATATTGACGGTGTGGCACCACGGAATGTGTGAGGGGGTGATGCATGATGAATCACAGCGGGCGGCATGCGAGGGAAGTGCACCGCGACGGAGCGTCACCCCGCCCTCAGCCTGCAGGGGAATGTGCACCCACAAAATATATGGACGAGACACCACCAAACAGACATGCCCTTCCATGCACCAATAAATAGGAGCGAAGGTGCGTTCTGGTGCGTGGGAGTCCACTCACATATTATTTATTTCCACCGCAATAAACGGTGAGGAATCATGTGCCACAGCAAAGAAGGAGGAAATAAAAACATCTATTGCAGCACCTTACCAGCGAAAAGCAGGAACAACACAAACCGAATTATTGGCTGCACCAACACAATAAAAATTCTCAAGAGAAGAAAACAGTTGTGCACACTGCAGGAACCCCCAACACACGATGCAGGCATGAAGGTTTACCCTCCGCAAAAACAATAACAACATATGCAGGCATCTTCCATCCTCCAAAAAGAAACACGAATAAATGGCTGACTTTATTCCATTCCTTGCGCTTAACTTTGCGTGTGCTGCTGCTGCTGCGGTGGTGGCTGCGCTTCCCGTGAACCAACAATCCACGTGGTGTGCGGGGATCTCCTTTTTTATTGTTACTTTGCTTTTGTGTTGCTGTGTGCGCTGCACCTTCTTGTGTGTGTGTGCGCACCCTCCGTGAGGGGTGCAGTCACGACGGACCGCTCTCGCCGTATGCACATGCGGTGGAGCCTTGTGTGCCGCTCCTGTTTGCTTCTCCCTCTTCCATCTGTGTGTTGGTGTTGCGGCAGGGCTGTGTGTGTGTGTGCCTGCTGCCGTGGATTGGAGTGTGTGTCGTGCGTGGTGTGCGGCGTACGGTGCATGCCTGGCTGCTGCCCTCTCTCCTCATGTGGTGTGCCCTCTGTGTGTGTCTGCCGCACCTCTCGTCTCCCCTGTTGCTCTCCATGTCCCTCACTGTGCAGATCAGCTCCACACCACTGAATGACCACACTCACGATGATGACGACGTGCCGTTTGCTGTGCGCCCTGTTGGTGCTTGCCCTGTGCTGCTGCCCGTCCGTGTGCGCTGCGCCGGATACGCCTGAAAAGCCTCCAAACACAACTACGACGACTACATCACAGGCACCTGACCCTACAAAGTCTGGGCTTGGAGATGATGTAAACACCACCAGTCTATCGCTCTCTTTGCCAGGGTCGCCAAGTAAGGAGCCCGTTGTGGAACGCGGAAAAACTGTTGGAGGGGAAGAAGGTTTGACCGGTCAAGAAGCGCCAACAGTTACGGAAGATACGAAAGAAGTTAAGAACGGCACGACTGGGCCAAGAAGTGGCAACAACCCACCCGCAAAACAAACAAATGAGGAGTCTGAAGCTTCAGCTCAGACAACGACAAAGACGACTACAACAAAGGCACCAACCACGACGACCACCACTACAACACATGCACCAAGTACTACGACTACAGAGGCGCCAGCTGTGTCGACCACCCGCACACCGTCACGTCTTCGCGAAATCGACGGCAGCCTCAGCGGCTCTGCGTGGGTGTGTGCCCCGCTGGTGCTTGCCGCATCCGCGCTGGCGTACACCGCTCTGGGCTGAAGAATTGTGTGCGGGCTGTGCGTGCCAGCACCCAACCGCGGGGATTTGTGCGCGTGTTGTGGTTCACTGTATAAAATAAGAGGAAATAATGGTTGTGTTTTGCTTCACTTGCTTCTGCTGCCGTGCTGTGTACTCCGCGTTGTGCCCCGCATCCGTCACGTTGAACGCATCGCGGACACACTCATAAGCATGCGCACTGGAGCCCTGGGTTTGTTTTTCTTTTCTTTCTAATTTCTGTTTTTAATTATTGTTTTTTATTGCTTTTCAAACTTGTGGTTTGCGGGGCGGTGTGCGAGCTCTGCAATCGTACTGATTTCATCTGTCTCGTGGTGTGTGCGCTGCTGCTGCTGGGGTGCTGCCATTTGTTGCTGTGCGTGGTTTAGCGGCTGTGTTTATCTTTTTGCTTCCCTCTCTGTTGACGGGGCGTTAGTTTGTGCTGAAGGCTGCACGCAAGTGACAGGAGTGATGGCGATGAGGATGACTGGCCGTGTGCTGCTGGTGTGTGCCCTCTGCGTGCTGTGGTGCGGTGACGAGGGTGTGGGATCTCCTGCTGGTGGTGCTGGCGGTTTACTTGGGAATGGTGGTAAAGGTGCGGTGGAGACTACTGATAATTCAACGTCAGCACCAGACGGCTCAGATCTAAAAAAAGGTTTGCCCAAAGTTAATCAATCAACAGAAACATCTACAGGAAAATCTTTGGAAGTAAACGAAGTTAATGCTTAACAACAGGATGTTGCTCCTGGAGTGGAGGATGAAGATGGAAGCCCTTCAGACCATTTAGAAGAATCATTAAAAGATGATCCAGATCAAGGAAAAACAAAGCCAGAAATACAAAATAAAGGACAGGAAGGAAGACAAACGCCACAATCGCAAGTAACTGTACCACAGCAACCGCAGCCACTATCGCATCAGTCACAACCGCTACCGCCATCAGCGCCGCAGCCACAACCTTCTGCTTCAGAAAAGGGTGAAGGTGTTGGCGAGAACAATACGGATGGAGAAGGTCAGCCCTCATTGAGAGTAGAAAATAAGGGAAACGAGGATCCAGAGAACCTCGGAAAAGAAGACTCATTAAATGATCCAGGTAAAGAATCAGAAAACAGTGAACAGGTTCAAACGACAGTGCCAAACACAGTACCGCCGGAGCACAAAATCCAAAATGGAATGTTAACTCCGGAACAAATGACGAATGAAAGCCAAAGCACGGATACATCCACGAACCTACCCGAAATACAAAAGGAAAATAAGGAATATCCTGCCTCTACGGAAGGTACGGCGCAGAGTACATCAAATGGCAGTCAAGAACAAGAAGCTGAGCCATCTACAAGCGAAGAACCTTCCCCTTTTGAGGAAGAACAATCCACAGGGACGAAGACAACTGAGGATGCTCGAACTCCGGATGCTGCGGCGACAGAAAAACGCCAAACCGGCGATAATGAAAAGGTTGGCGACAGTGACGGCAGCACTGTGGTCTCTCACACCACTTCCTCTTTTTTGCTTCTTCTTCTTGTTGCGTGTGCGGCTGCTGCTGCGGTGGTGGCCGCGTGAGAGTGAGTGAGAGAGCGCCGTGCACCGCCCGCACACACACTCGTCTTTCACCCACTCTCTGTGTGTGTCCCCTTGCATGGACTCTCGCCCTCACCTCACCCCACGAAGCACACACATAATGTGCCCATTGTATATATTGCATGCACACCCATGCAGGCCCGTTGGTGCTCTCTTTTGCACCACACGCACCGCTGCCGTCCTGCCTGGCTGCATGGGCGGAGCACCGTAACTGTTTCTGTTTTGTTTTTATTGCATTGAGTGGGCGACCTCTCTCTCTCTCTCTCCCTGTGTGTGTGTTTGCTTTACGGGGGCAATGAGAGTGTGTGCGCTGGTCATCCCACCTGTTGCTGCGCGTCCCCACTGCTGGTTGTCCCACGCTTCGGCTTCCGTCATGTGTGTGTTTTTGTGGTACTCTGCTTGTGTTGTGGTTGGGTGCACCCATTCCGCGGGCTGCGTGTGTGTGATGATATGAGTAATTTGCGTGTGTGCTATCCGCTTCTTTTTGCTGTTTTTTTCTTTGGATTCCCTTGTGGCGCACAGCTGCTCCGTAATTATAGGCGCTGAAGAACACACAAGCACATGCGCACACGCACACCATGTGGCACACGTTGTGTAGCGGCGTGACCGCTGAGGATGTACGCACGCTGCGGATGCTCACGGCGGACACTATGGGCCCCTGTGTGTTGGCGCTTGTGGTTGCCTTTGGCCACGCTCATATCCACCGTTTTGGAAGGGCGGCGTGGTCGTGGGCCGGTGGAAACATCAGCGGCGAACACGGTGACTTCCACGCCGTGGACTCACAGTAGCCTTTTGGACAGTGGCGGTGCGGAAGAAACGGTCATGATCGTTGCCCCGCCAGCACGCTTTTTATTAAGTACCCCGAGAGAAACAGTAAAAATATATTTGCACGCATGAGTCTTCCCATTCCCGCTTCAGGGCTGCCCATCGTGATGAGGTTGACGTGCGGTGGCGTTACCCCTATGAGCTGCTTGGATAGAAATGGAGAGCGCTGTGCAAGTGGTGGCTGTTGCGTGGCCGGTCACACAAATACTGCGACACCACGAGGAGAGCAGACCAAACACTCCGCGTGCAGGGAGCGTTGTGGCCGATGAGGAATGCGTGCGACGGTGATGGACGTTTCCTCGACGACGAATTGACGGTTTTTCCCTTTGATGGAGTCGGTGCGCACGCGGTGTGTATGGCCGCTTCTGTGGTCTCCTGTTACTCCGCAGCGTGCGCCACATTCTGACGCATCACTGGCACTAAAGTGTTTCCTGTTTCTCCTCCCTCTTCTTTTTTTGCTTCTCTCCTCCCACAGCCAGGCTGCACTGCTGCTGCTGCTACTCACAAGAAACCAAGAAATGCAGTTTCCTCAAGCCATGTGCCAGCCACGACACGCCACGCCGCTTCTCCCACTGTTGGTGGTGTTGCTGATGTACTGCGCCAGTGGATGTATTGCCGCCGCTCCCGCCACACAATACCGCTGTGGGTTTGACGAGATGATGAGGAGGAACGGCCCGCTGTCGACTGCGGTGGTGCGTGAGGTGCCGCGCAAGGGACAGGGCGCGATGCAGGCGTACACCGTCGCCACACAGGATGACGACAGTGGCTGGGAGCCGATCCGCATCACGGTGTTCACGGAGGATTTGAAGGGGGGCACGGGTAGAAGGAATTACTGCGAAAAAGGGGAGGCTGAGTGCTACAACGCCTTGTGGCACAAGGTATCATGCACACCAGAGCATGTCTTGACGGAGGCAAAGAAACAATTGTACACTGGAAGGATTCTACCTGGTGCTGTCAAACTGCACGCCGAGCGACTACTTGTGAAACCCACTGGTGGGACGATAACTGTACCTAGGGCTATGAATGAACCGTGCAACCAATTTACGATTTCTACTGAACACAGGAAAAACGGTGTGCTGAACGTCGACTTTATCATCTACGCCGCTGCTAGGCCATCAGGTACTAAAAGCGGGGCTGTGTGGGCGGTCACATGTAGCACATGGGGTGATTTTCGTCCCTCTATTGGCGCCATGAACTTTGATCCGAAGTACATGACTGACACGGCGTGGAGCGTTCGCGTTGCCGCACACGAAATTGCGCATGCTCTTGGGTTCAGTAAAGAGAGTATAGGAGAAAATAGCATCAAAATTTCAGAGCACATTGTGCGTGGGACGCACCGCAGGATGGTGGCAGGGAAACATGTTCAGGAGAAGGCGAAAGCGCACTTTGGTTGTAATTCTCTTGAGGGAATGGAGCTGGAGGACGAAGATGGTGTATCGTCAAGAAAGATCCCTCACTGGACGGAACGCCACGCGCGGGACGAGCTGATGGCTCCCACAGTCGGTGCCGGCTACTACACGGCTCTGACGATGGCGGTGTTCGCTGATATGGAGTACTACCGCGTGAATTGGAGCATGGCGGAGCCGATGAGCTGGGGCAGCCGCACTGGCTGCGACTTTCTGAAAAACAAGTGCAATGAAACCACGAATCTTGCCGGCAATTATCCTCGCATGTTCTGCGACGACTCCGACAAGGAGACGCTTCGCTGCACTTCCGACCGCCGTCACGTTGGGACGTGCACCGCAAGCATCGTTGAGGACAAGAAGAGTCTGGTGGATAAGCACGTTTGCCCTGTCGTATCTTCGGAATTTCACGAAATATTGTCTGGGACAACGTACAATACGTGCTCGGACAAAGGTGTGACTTCTCTCCCTGGGTCGCTGACTGGCGACGGCTCGTGGTGCCTGGATGCGGAATTACTGGAGAAGAAGGGCGGTAATGGCCATAAAAGCGTCAAGGGAGTGTGCGCGCAGGTCTTGTGTGAGGAGGGCACAGTGAAGGTGAAGTACAGTGGCAGCAAGGATTTTGAGCTTTGCCCTGAGGGCACTGACATCCCAGTGACGCTGAATGGTTTTGAGCAAGGTGGGAAGATCAAGTGCCCCATTTACGGCGAGGTGTGCACCATTGCCGCCAACGGCAGCAGTCTTGTCATTCCGAGAGCGTTGGAGGATGATAAGCGAGAGGAGCAAGAGGAGAAAAGAGAAGAGTCTGTGGCTGCTCCGGCGTTGTCCCCCGGAGCGGAAGCTCTTACAAAGGCGTCTCCTGCCGATTTGCCTGCTGAGGAGTACTCGTCTGAAGAGGGACCCAGTGAAGAAGCGTCCACTGCAGAAGCGTCCACCGCAGAAGCGTCCATTGCAGAAGCATCTCCTCCAGGTAAAAATTCTGAAGCTCCAGTAGTGCAAGCGGCATTGAAGCAGCCTCAACAAAAAAGTGAAGCAGAACAAATGACAGCGGTGGAGGCATCTGCCACTACACAGCAAGTGCCACCGGATTCATCGCAGGAAAATGCGGAGAGGGCGGCGGCTTTGAACTCTCATGCCGTTGGAGAAACAACAGGTGATGGCGGCACTGTGCGTGAGAGGAGGGTGCTGCCGCTGCTTCTTCTGCTGTTGGGACTGTGGGGGTTTGCGTCTCAGTGAGGGGTGACCGACTGCAGCGTGAAACAATTGCGACCTCCCCTGCACAGAATTGCGTCCAAGAACTAATTCTTTTGAAAAACTTTTTTTTTTGCTTTTTTACTTTATTTACATTTTATAATTGTTTTTTTTCCTGTGCGTAATATAAGTTTTTTTTGTGCGTTTTTTCATTTTTCAATGTTTTTGTTTTTCTTTCAAAAAATATTTCTGTTTGCTGTTTTAATTTTTTATCTCGCCCCCCATCCCTTCTTTCTTTTGCTTTTGGGGGCAATCACTATGGACGTTTTTTCTGCTCTTCCCTTTTTTAATTGCTTCTTGCTGCACTCTTCCTGTGAGGGGTGCCGTGTGTTTCCCGCCCAACTGCTCCACTCGCACACCCACCGACACGCTCATGACGACGGCCCTGTGCGCCTCGCCTGCTGCATGCATGAGGAGGGGCCGCGACAAACGGCGCGCTGAGGGAGCCGTGGCGTGTGGGCGTGCGACGAGTGCCTGTGGGGCGGAGCACACATTTCTTTCCCTCTTGTTTTTTTTTTTTTTGCGGCCAGGGCTGGCAGACACCCGCAGCGCCACGCACACAGCCACACCCTGCCGCCGTGTTTTTGTTTTGTTTTTTGTGTGGATGTTTGTATGCTGCCACCGTGCGTGATTGTTGATGTCGGGGGCGTACCGCATGTATCGCTGCCATCCAGCTGTGTCTCTTGCTGTGTTTATGTGCCTTTTTGAGCTTTTTTAATTTCCTGCTTCTTCAGAACACACACACACACAGTCATAATTATTTGCACAGTGCACTGCATGAATGCCTTGGGGACGGCGGTAAGTTGGCTTGTGTGTCCCGTGCTGAGATGGCGAGGCCGCTGCGTGTGTGCCTGTGCGGTGGGAATCACGGCGCCATTGGATGGATGCGTGTGGGACACTCTCTGCATTTCTCTGGATGCCGGCTGCCGCGGCTGCACGATGCCCGCCATGTGTGAAGGTGTTGCCTGCTCTTGGGGTCATTCTTCTCACCTCTTTGTTTTTGCTTTGCCAAGTGCGTGCGCTGCTTGGTGTGTGCTGGCGCGTGACGGACGGTGCCACGATGGCCTCTTCTGACGGTGACAGTCGCTGTGTTCTCGGCACACATCCACGCACCCTTCCTTTTCTCTCTGTGGGAGTGATTGCGGCAGGGCATTGCTGCGAACGCGATGGGGATCACGACGGCGTCACCCCTCGAGAGGGTCCCGCGCACTGTCGGTTGTGGAGGGGCGAGGCAGTTTGCCTGCAGCCTAACCGACAGAACCGCACAGTTTTTTCATTGCGGTCACTCCGTCGGCATCACCCGCTGCGGTGGTGTCCGCAGGAGCCGCAGCCCCGATGAGGATGGCCTCGTAGTTATCTGGCAGCTCATACCTTCAGGCCCTTCGCCCCTCAGGATTGTCCTTGCTGCTCGACTGGCGCAGCACCGGTCCGACATGTTTCTTCTCCCGGAGTGCAGGCAGGAGAGTGCCCCAGCGACGAGGCTCGTTGGCTGCAGTGACTTCCACCAGGCCTGCAGTGGGCGTGCCGGTGGCGTGGCCCTCTTGGTGCGCCACACCTTGCCGTGCGAGCGCCTGTCTCTGCTGGCACCAACTGCGTGGAGACCACCGCCTTCCGCGTGTGCCCACCGGCCTGCCCCAGAATGCACGTGGTAAACCTCTGCAGCCCTCCATCGGCAATTGCCCACGCTGCTCACTTTGCGGGCACCATTCGTCGCCCTTGTCCTGCAGCGCCCATTGCGGGCGTCCTGAACCTACACCATGAGCTGCGGGATGGTTGCTCACCTTCGACGGCGGCAGGAGAGGACCTCGCCGCCACCCCAGGCGACATGGACTCTGAGCTCTCCGACGACCCGGCACAGGCAACACGGATCAGCGGCCGCCGCGTCTCGTTTCCCGACGTGACTGCGCAACGCGTACTGCGTGTCTCCCACTGGACGTCCACTTGTTTGCATGGACTCGGATCACCATCTGCCATCCCACACTGCGGGGACGGAGGACGGCATCCCGCGACAGGCAGGCATGCTGCCACGACGGAAACATGCTGCCTTTGCCCTGCGTGCAGCTGACTGGAATGATTCCACCTCGGCGTGTGAAACGCTTCTGGCCACTGTGATCACATGGTTGGAGATGCACCGAGGCACCATACGAGCGGCAAGGCGCAACATCCCGTGCGGCAGCCGTGACAGCTCCACAGGAATGTGGACGGACGGAATGGAGCATGCCGAGTCCACTGCAGCGGCAGCATGCAACGCGCACACTGCCTCACCAGGAGGCAGCCTTCCCGAGCTGAAGTTGCCCGCAAACGGGAGGACCGCAATCATGCCCTCCGCGGTGGTTTCTCCATGCTGCTGGAGGTCCGTGCAAAGCAGCTTGGTGCCCTCTCGAGCCCAGGCCTGTGATACCCCGAGGCATGGCGGCACCACGTCCCCGCTCTCTGGGATCGGCTTTGCCGTGGTACTCTTGGGCCTGTGCCTGTGCTCTGCCTCTGCAGCAGGCAACCCGCTCGTCCGTCACACTGTCCGCGTCTCACGTGCTGCGATCCCCACAGCTGCCTGCACAGTTTGTGCTCGCGTGCCCCCTGGTGACTGGAATATGGATTGGCCCTTCACGCCGTGTGCGCCTGACCCAGCCATCCGCGACTGTTTGCCTGGCATTGCCCCTGGCCCCGGCGGCGTATTGAGTGTGTTTCTGCGCCGTCTTGTGCCCGCTGCCCGCTGCTCGCACAGAACGATGATCAACACCTCCCTCGCCGACGGCAGCCTGCGAAGTCCTTGGGAAATGGGGACACCACTCCCATCCGCAGACACGGAGGGAACACACGCCGCACCGAGAGAGTCATCGGCCACTCCCGCTGCTCTCTGTCCTGCTAGGTGTGAGCGAAGGACTGGTCCACTGCCGCCTGTCAGCACTGCTGGCACACCACCGACGTCAGCCTGGATCCACGCCACGACGCACGGCCTCGGAGTTGGTGACGCCTGTGAGTGACGAAGCGGCACGAGGGCTGAGCGGGTGCATCGCTGTGAAGTGCGAGCGTCGCAGGGGCGTCATCCCGCGCTGCACCGTCGCCGTCGCCGCTCTCTCGCCGTCCCGATCGGCATCTCGACTGCGTTCGACACCGTTGGCGATGGGCGAGTGTTGGCTGTGCTCTGCGGGCTCCCGCGTGTGGGCCGTCGCGCCCAACGCTGGTAGCGCAATCGCCTGCGAGGCGGCTGCGTTGGGGTGAGTGCTTGCGAGCAATATTCCCGACAGCAGCTTCCCTCAGCCGTGGCAGCCCAATGCAGCGTCGTGCGGCCCCAGCTCCTCCACCGCCACGTGGATGGTTTGCTGCGCCGCCTGTACAGCATTCACTTTGCTTCGGTGTTCATGCACGCTGACAACTGCACGCTTGTTGCGTTGTGTGCGGACCTCCGTGCCTGTGGTGCGGCAATGCCAGCTGCCGGTTCCGTTGTAGCTGCATGGGCTGCCGGGCACAGTCTGAGTATCAGCGCGGACAGGAGCGGTGCCGCTCTGTTCTGCATCGCCTCACACCGACAGTCTGACGAGGACACGGCCGACCATCGTCTGGGCGGTGGGAAGCCACGCGTCAATCCCACCCTGTGCGTCTGCTCGGCAATGTGATTGATCGACACCTCAATTTTGTTTCGCACGTCACCGCCGCTGCAGGGCAGACCGTGCCACGCCGCCGTCAGCCGCGGCTGGGCGCAGGAGCTGGTGCGTCCCAGCACACCATGCGATCCTTTCTGGTTGGATGCGTCCACAGTGCGTTGCACCACGGCGGTGAGGCACTCGCACCGTGTCGGCCCCCACTCACCTCCACAGCCTGGAAGTGCGGCACGGCGACAGCTGCACGGCATCTCTCGTCCCACGCGTATCAGCGAAGGATACTTCTGTCTACCTGGCCGCCAGTCCAGCACCGTTACGGAGGATCATTGGGTTCTGCGCACCCACACAGCACGAACGCCTCACACGTCTCCGGTATATTGAGGACGTGCGTGGCGCAGTATGCTCGGAAACCACACCTTCGTCAATACCTGGGAAGGCAGCGACGACCATTCTGCTGCCGGGAGATGCCGTCCTCAAGGAACTGCGACGCGTCCGCAGCCACATGAGGATCTCCCCGGACCACATCCGCGCCCCTCTTGTTGATCACCGAGTTTTCGCCCGGGACACTGTGAGCTGCAGCGGGGTGGGCGTCTTCCAGCCACGGCACGCCAAGGACGCCCTGGACGGTGTCAGACGATCGGCCCTTGAAGCGGCCTGCACCTCTCTGGGACCGTATGACGCAGGTCACTGGACGGACGGCTTTTCGTCTCTCGCTGCGCATGCATCCGGATCCGCTGCACTGCCACTTGACTCCCCGGACGGCCGAGCTCCCTGTGGGGCCTCACCGCACAGCTGCTGGCAGCCTTGCATGCACCTGCCGAGCGGAGTGTCCTGCCACTGAGCATGGCCTCGGACACTTCCCAGTTCCCCGCCTGGCAGCAGCATCCCAATCGCCCACACGAGTTCCTGTCGCCACAGACTCCCTTTCGGCGATGGAGTCACTCCGCCTTGGCCTGCTGGCGATGCACGACGACGTCAGCGAGGAGATTTGTACCGTGCCGCTTTCACTGGTGGATTGAGGTCACACAGCTGAATCCATGTTTTCCCCATGGCACTGCGGAATCCCACGCAACGTGACAGCGGACGCCGACGCCGTCAGGCCACGATCCCTCCCGCAGTACTGCGTCACTGCCTGGCATGTGGAATTCCTTACCGCCGTCAAGAGGTTATAATGGAAGGATGTGCAGGAGGAAAAGGGAGCCGCGCACACCGCGTGACAGGCGCATGTCGGTGTGGCAAGGACTCTATTCCTGGTGTTGACCCGGACATCGTGCCCCGAGTGGCGGCACTGCGCACAGGCGCGATGCGACTCCTGCCCACTCCTCGACAGGCCTGCACGCGCCCTGCGGATCACAAGGAACCCTCTGTGTCGGTGGTGCCGTCCCTCCCTGACTGCGGTGACCGGCCCGCCTCTGCCTCCGCCGGAACCTCTTCCCGACGTAAGCACCGCAACTCCTTGTCGACCAGCGAGCGGCGGATTGACGTCCTCCTGCCCAACCTGCGGCAGAGTGCACTTGTCCGTCCACAGTATGAGGGCACATGCCGGACGTGCTCAGCCTGGCGTTATAATAGTTTGCGAGGGCCTCCCATGCGGATGTCACAATGGCGCAACCGTCTTCTTAACAGCTGCCTCGCGCGCAGGTCGACATCGAAAATGCCAAGCATGCCAGCAGGCAAGACACGCAGGAAGCACAAACGCGGGTACTCGAGATGGACCAGGCTCTTCCGCCACCGCCTCATCACGGACGCCACGGGCTGCTGATCCCCGACGGACCACGGGAGACTCTGCCTCATCCACTGCGGGAATGCCCTCGTCGTTGGGAACTGGGACTGCGACTGTTTGTGACTGCCCCAGCCCGCACGACGGTCCGTTTGCGACGGAATACTTGCCACTTTTGTACGGACGGCCCTTGCGCTACTCACTCGTTATTGTAGCAGCATACAACCAAAACAACATAACAAGTTGCTTTGTGATGAATATTGGCTGCACTTCCCGTGGACCAACAATTCGCGTGGTGTGCGGGGATCTCCTTTTTTTTATTGTTACTTTGCTTTTTTGTTGCTGTGTGCGCTGCACCTTCTTGTGTGTGTGCGCACCCTCCGTGAGGGGTGCCGACACGACGGACCGCTCTCGCCGCATGTACATGCGGTGGAGCCTTGTGTGCCTCTCCTGTTTGCTTCTCCCTCTTCCATCTGTGTGTTGGTGTTGCGGCAGGGCTGTGTGTGTGTGTGTGCCTGTTGCCGTGGATTGGAGTGTGTGTCGTGCGTGGTGTGCGGCGTACGGTGCATGCCTGGCTGCTGCCCTCTCTCCTCATGTGGTGTGCCCTCTGTGTGTGTCTGCCGCACCTCTCGTCTCCCCTGTTGCTCTCCATGTCCCTCACTGTGCAGATCAGCTCCACACCACTGAACGACCACACTCACGATGATGACGACGTGCCGTTTGCTGTGCGCCCTGTTGGTGCTTGCCCTGTGCTGCTGCCCGTCCGTGTGCGCGACAGAGATTAAACCGGTTGAAGATCCTTCCCAGACGACCACGACGAAGCCCACGACAAAGGCTCCGGTCCCTAATGAGAAGAGTATGCCTGAATTTAATACGAACTCCGTCAGTCTACCCTCCCTTCCACCAGCAGCACAACCACAGGAGACCGGTCAGCCAATGTTGGCAAGTAATGGGTCCGCTGCGGAGCAGGGACCAGGATCTACCAGTACGGGAACGAAACCAAATGAGGTGTCCAATACGTTACAGGCAGATGGTATTAAGGGTACGACAGGGTTACCCAGTGACAAGACACTATCCGAGGAACGGGCAAATAGGGAGTCTGAAGAATCTACCGAGGAGACCACCACTACCACCACGACAAAGGCACCAACCACGACGACCACCACTGCGCCAGAGGCACCAAGTACTACGACTACAGAGGCGCCAGCTGTGTCGACCACCCGCGCACCGTCACGTCTTCGCGAAATCGATGGCAGCCTCAGCAGCTCTGCGTGGGTGTGTGCCCCGCTGGTGCTCGCCGCATCCTCTCTGGCGTACAACACTGTGGGCTGAAGAGGTGTGTGCGGGCTGTGCGTGCCAGCACTCAACCGCGGGGTTTGCGCGCGTGTGTTGTGGTTCACTGTACTAAATAAGAGGAAATAATGTTTGTGTTTTGCTTCACTTGCTTCTGCTGCCGTGCTGTGTGCTCCGCGTTGTGCCCCGCATCCGTCACGTTGAACGCATCGCGGACACACTCATAAGCATGCGCACTGGAGCCCTGGGTTTGTTTTTCTTTTCTTTTTTAATTTCTGTTTTTAATTATTGTTTTTCATTGCTTTTTAAACTTCTGGTTTGCGGGGCGGTGTGCGAGCTCTGCAGTCGTACTGATTCCATCTGTCTCGTGGTGTGTGCGCTGCTGCTGCTGGGGTGCTGCCATTTGTTGCTGTGCGTGGTGTAGCGGCTGTGTCTATCTTTTTACTTCCCTCTCTGTTTAAGGGGAGTTACTTTTGCTGAAGGCCATACGTAAGTGACAGGAGTGATGATGGCGATGATGACTGGCCGTGTGCTGCTGGTGTGTGTCCTCTGCGTGCTGTGGTGCGTGTTTTCTTCGGTGTCGGCCGATGCCGGGGATGATTGTGAGGATTCCGGCCAAGCTGTTGTTGGGAGTGTTGGTCAACCTTCTTCCCCAGTTGCGGGTCATGGTGATAATGGAGTTGTCACTGATGGAAGTTCTCTGAGCAGTGGAAGTCACTTGCCGGGTTCTGCTCCTACGGGTGACAAACCCCCACTTCCCGGTGTTGGTGTGGGTGTGGGTTTAAATGAATCTAAGGATGCCTTAACTCTTGCAAAAGAGGGGCGTGAAGTCGTACAGGATCAGCATGAATTAGTGCCTCAAGTTTCGCATCACACTGATGCGGGAACAGGAGGTAAAAGCGATCTCAATGCGCCAGAACAGTCGCCCAACGCAAAAACGGAATTAGAAAATGGTGGTGGTGTTTGTGGTGATGATGCTGCAGCTGCGGAGGGTGAAGTAAAAACCACCGTGAATGAAGGACAATTGGGCGGATCTTCCACGAGCGACAGCCATCCACCAGCAGCAGACCGAGGGTCGAGGGAGCAGGAGGGCACAGTGGAACAAGCAGCATCAACAGCGGCATTGACGCCAGTGGTGGGGCGAGAAACACCACTTAAGGGGGACACAAAAGAGGACTCACCGGGGGATAAAGCCGCAACTGGCGCAGGTATCACACAAGATATACCAGCTGTCAGTCAACAACAAACACATTCTTCATCCACCTCTACAGCTGGAAATGGTCTGACTTCCACTCTAGGAAAAGGGCGCACTGCGGAGGACATTTCCAGCAATAACGAACGATCCGGTAAAGCACTGCTGCAAGAAGGAGCTCAACATGAAACTGTTGCTGGCAGCCAATCGCAAACAATACCAGCAGCCACCGCCCGTAACACACTTGGCACAACCCTTCCTGGCGACAGCGACAACAGCACCACGATAACTACAGCCGTGCGGTCTGACACTGGCACAGAAGGCACTCCAACCAGCAATCATCCGAACCGAAAATCCATTGAAGGCGCCACATCACCCGGCATGAATTCCGATGGTGAAGCTGCATCAGCCAAAAAATATGATACGGTATCTCAGAGTGCAGGATCCTCAACAGCGTCAACCACAAACAACAAAACACGTGACACAGCTTCTCATGGCAACAGTGACAGCAGCAACGCGGTCTCCCACACCACCTCCCCTCTTTTGCTTCTTGTTGTTGTTGCGTGTGCGGCTGCTGCTGCGGTGGTGGCCGGGCCTGCATGAAGTGGAGTGCGCCGAATGTGGACGAAGGCATACGGCAACTGAACTGTTTTTGTGTTGAATATTGGCTGCACTTCCCGTGGACCAACAATCCGCGTGGTGTGCGGGGATCTTATTTTTATTGTTACTATGCTTTTGTGTTGCTGTGTGCGCTGCACCTTCTTGTGTGTGTGCGCACCCTCCGTGAGGGGTGCAGACACGACGGACCGCTCTCGCCGCATGCACATGCGGTGGAGCCTTGTGTGCCGCTCCTGTTTGCTTCTCCCTCTTCCATCTGTGTGTTGTTGTTGCGGCAGGGCTGTGTGTGTGTGTGCCTGCTGCCGTGGATTGGAGTGTGTGTCGTGCGTGGTGTGCGGCGTACGGTGCATGCCTGGCTGCTGCCCTCTCCTCATGTGGTGTGCCCTCTGTGTGTGTCTGCCGCACCTCTCGTCTCCCCTGTTGCTCTCCATGTCCCTCACTGTGCAGATCAGCTCCACACCACTGAACGACCACACTCACGATGATGATGACGTGCCGTTTGCTGTGCGCCCTGTTGGTGCTTGCCCTGTGCTGCTGCCCGTCCGTGTGCGCGTCAGAGACTGAGGAGATCCCTGTTGATCTTGAAGCTGAAGATGAAGTTGATGGAAGAGTCACCGGTCCAGAGCCCGCTGCACCAGGAGTACCATTGAATCAGAATCAAGTTCAGGCTGAATCTCCTGAAGCCGCCCCCAGTCTACCGCCCCCTCCAACAGAGCCAACAACCCCGGCGGCTAATGCTATTGTAAGCGCCACCAGTCAATCGACCCCGGCATCAGATACCAATCCGACCCAAGATGTAACGATGACGACCGCGACGAGGAGTAAGACACAGACCCAAGGCAACAAGACAAACTTTGGAGTTGAACCTAATGGAACCTCCACCAGTGTACCGTCCCCTCCATCAGTGGCACCACCACAGGGTACCGGTCAGCCAGGGTCGTCAAGTAATGGGGCCGCTGCGGAGCACGAAAATACTGCCGGAAATAGAGGAGTTTTGCCCAGTTCGCATCCGCAATCAAGTGGTGCGCATAATACGGTACAAAGAGAAGGTACGGAAGACACGTCAGGGACAAAAAGCCGCACTCGTACATCCACAGAACATGCAAATAAGAATGTCGACGATCCTGCCGAGACGACGACGACGACCACAACAAAACCACCAACCACGACCACCACCACTGCGCCAGAGGCACCAACCACTACGACGACAGAGGCGCCAACCACGACGACGACCACCCGCGCACCGTCACGTCTTCGAGAAATGGACGGCAGCCCCAGCAGCTCTGCGTGGGTGTGTGCCCCGCTGGTGCTCGCCGCATCCGCGCTGGCGTACACCACTCTGGGCTGAAGAGGTGTGTGCGGGCTGTGCGTGCCAGCACTCAACCGCGGGGATTTGTGCGTGTGTGTTGTGGTTCACTGTATAAAATAAGAGGAAATAATGATTGTGTTTTGCTTCACTTGCTTCTGCTGCCGTGCTGTGTGCTCCGCGTTGTGCCCTGCATCCGTCACGTTGAACGCATCGCGGACACACTCATAAGCATGCGCACTGGAGCCCTGGGCTTGTTTTTCTTTTCTTTTTGATTTCTGTTTTTTAATTATTGTTTTTTATTGCTTTTTAAACTTCTGGTTTGCGGGGCGGTGTGCGAGCTCTGCAATCGTACTGATTCCATCTGTCTCGTGGTGTGTGCGCTGCTGCTGCTGCTGGGGTGCTGCCGGTGTGCGTGGTGTAGCGGTGTCTATCTTTTTGCTTCCCTCTCTGTTTAAGGGGAGTTACTTTTGCTGAAGGCTGCACGTAAGTGACAGGAGTGATGGCGATGATGACTGGCCGTGTGCTGCTGGTGTGTGTCCTCTGCGTGCTGTGGTGGCGATAGCGGTACGGGTGAGTATTCGCTCTTGCGGTGGCGTGCTCAGCTGCGGAGGGAGTGCGCGATGGATGGCCGCAGAAGGACAGGAGGAAGGGCGAATGTGTCCGCCGTGGAGGAATGCGTGCGTAATTGGATGGCCGTCGTCGTTGGAGGCGTCAAGGGATTGCTGTTGCTGCTGACACCGCTGAGGATAAGGGGGTATGCTGCAATCCAATGAACACTCAACGAGACGCGTCACCAGCCGCGTAGATCGCCTGCCGTTAGAACGAGGAAAAGACAAGGCGGAGCGCCACCAGCGGCACCGGCAGTATGTGGAGGATCAGCGGGATGGCGTTATTTGCCGCCCGAAATGAAAACGAATGTGTCGGAGTCACACGGCGCATTGAGTGGTGTTGGACAGCGGGAGGAGTCAACCGTGAATGGTTCAAAAGGCAAGGCTCGGATGCTGATGGCTCCTGTCACGGTGGGGCGCCTGGAACTCGCGCCCCAAAGGGATTGAGCATTGCCCTCTTCGGATGGCAGTCGCGCCACCGGCAGTCCGGAAAACGAATCCGCTCAGGATGAAAAGTTGAGAGTCGCTGAGTCATCGGAGGGCGGTGGGACAGAGGGAGGAGCCCAGCCCCCAACACAGCCTGCCATTGGGGGGCGAAAAGGATCACAACCAACAAAACCAGCCGCAGTACCGGGCGGACAAATAAGACAAACAGCGGGGGCAGGAACCGCCGCAAGGGGCAGAAGGGTCTGACAGCCGACATGAAGTTTCATGGCCAGAGAATGGCGAGGGTAGCGCCAAAACACGATGTGGGTTTAAACACAACTTCTGCACAAGTACCGGGTGATGCACCACAATAAGAATCGGGAGGAGAAGTTGCAGTAGAAGCAGCTGGTGGAGATGAGGCAGAAAGGAAAGAAGTTGCAGCACACCAAGACACCGTGCAGCATGCACCATCTCCCATTTACGAGAGGTCATCGCAGTCATCGTCCTTTTCAGATGGCAGCTTTGCTGCATTAGATTGGAAGGAGGAATGCACCGTGCAGGAGATTTCCAAACAGCCTCCACTTTCTGACGCTGCAGAGAAAATAGAGGACCGCCAGCGTGGAGACAAAGCGCCTGCTGCCGAGGCTGACAACAGCACCGCATTTCTTCCAGCTGCAGAGTTTAACGCCGCCGCCAGCAGCACCACGACCAATCATAATGCCAGCCATCTGAACGGAGAGGACGACGAACCCTCCACAGAAGGAGTGGAGAAGAAGAATGCAACAACAAAACCGAAGGCACATCAGCCGGCACAGTTACCCCCGCAGGCCACAGTGAGGGGTTCAAGAGGGACACCGCCACTAACAATGTAAACACAGCTTCGCATGGCAACAGTGACAGCAGCACCGTAGTCTCCCACACCACCTCCCTTTATTGTTTCTTGTTGCGTGTGCAGCAGCTCCTGCTGTGGTGGTGGCCGGGTCTGCATGACGTGGAGTGCGATGAATGTGGACGAAGGCCTACTGCAAATGAACTGCTTGTGGTGAATATTGGCTGCACTTCCCGTGGACCAACAATCCACGTGGTGTGCGGGGATCTCCTTTTTTATTGTTACTTTGCTTTTGTGTTGCTGTGTGCGCTGCACCTTCTTGTGTGTGTGTGCGTACCCTCCGTGAGGGGTGCCGACGCGACGGACCGCTCTCGCCGTATGTACATGCGGTGGAGCCTTGTGTGCCGCTCCTGTTTGCTTCTCCCTCTTCCATCTGTGTGTTGGTGTTGCGGCAGGGCTGCGTGTGTGTGTGTGCCTGCTGCCGTGGGTTGGAGTGTGTGTCGTGCGTGGTGTGCGGCGTACGGTGCATGCCTGGCTGCTGCCCTCTCCTCATGTGGTGTGCCCTCTGTGTGTGTCTGCCGCACCTCTCGTCTCCCCTGTTGCTCTCCATGTCCCTCACTGTGCAGATCAGCTCCACACCACTGAACGACCACACTCACGATGATGACGACGTGCCGTTTGCTGTGCGCCCTGTTGGTGCTTGCCCTGTGCTGCTGCCCGTCCGTGTGCGCGACAGATTCTACGGAGGCCACTGAAGGTCAAGCTGTTACTGGGGTTGAAGATGTAGAAGAACCCACCAGCTTGAGTTCTTTGTCCTCTGAGTCGCAAGTGGAGGACGAACCCGATGAGGAACCGGGTTCAGGTACGGGTTCCGGTGAGGACAGGGGAAAAAACGTGCCAGTGCCCCTAGTTTCTTCCGGTGCCGTAATGCAATCAAATGAGGCGAAAATGCCGGTACAGACAGGAGATAAGAAAGGCACGACAGAAGATAAAAATGATACGAAAGCGCCAAAGTCGCGAAGTAAGGGGTCCACTGCGGAACAGGGAAAAGCTGACGTAGGTGGTGGAAAAGGTTTGACAGCTCCGGAACGGCAGTCAGGCGATGTTATCGATACGGTACACTCAGATGATAGGAGTACGACAGGTCCACAGAGCCGCACGAGTACTTCCGCAGACCAAACAGATCAAGATGCCAACGATGCTGCCGCGACGACCACGACGACTACGACGACAAAGGCACCAACAACAACCACCACCACTGCGCCAGAGGCACCAAGTACTACGACTACAGAGGCGCCAACCACGACGACGACCACCCGCGCACCGTCACGTCTTCGCGAAATCGACGGCAGCCTCAGCAGCTCTGCGTGGGTGTGTGCCCCGCTGCTGCTTGCCGCATCCGCGCTGGCGTACACCGCTCTGGGCTGAAGAGGTGTGTGCGGGCTGTGCGTGCCAGCACTCAACCGCGGGGATTTGTGCGCGTGTGTTGTGGTTCACTGTATAAAATAAGAGGAAATAATGATTGTGTTTTGCTTCACTTGCTTCTGCTGCCGTGCTGTGTGCTCCGCGTTGCGCCCCGCATCCGTCACGTTGAACGCATCGCGGACACACTCATATGCATGGCACGCAAAAAACTGTTTGCGTGGAATCACATTTGAGGATGGGTGCGTGCGCGCTGGAGCCATACTGTGCAGCCCTTTGTTTTGTGTGTTCACATTCTTTACTTTATTGCTGTTTTTTTATCTGCGCTTTGTTTCTAATTTTTTTTTTTGTGTGTTTTCTGTTTGTTTGGTGCGGGGCGTTGTGTGTTTTTGCCCTTTCACTGATTTCAACTGGCTCATGGCGTGTTTGCGATGTCGCTGCTGGGCTGCTGCCATTTGTTGCTGGATGGGACAGTGCGTGGCTATGTGACTTGTTTCTTTTTTGCTTTTGCTCTGCGTTGACGTGTTGTTAGTTTGTGCTGAAGGCTGCACGCAAGTGACAAGAGTGATGGCGATGATGATGACTGGCCGTGTGCTGCTGGTGTGTGCCCTCTGCGTGCTGTGGTGCGGTGCCGAAGGAGGTTGTGAAGAAGCATCCGCAGGTTTTCAGTCTGATGCGTCCGATGGTCTTGTGGGGGAAGGTGTAGATTCACAGGATTCACCGCGCTCTGAAACTAATGGGGAAAGCGAGGGGCATCGTTTGGAAGGGACGGATTTGGGGCAAATAAACTCATCCCCTCGCGGTGGAACTGTGGGGCTAGACAACAAGTTGGCAGTGATACCTGCGGGATCTCCGGTAACACGCAGTCAATTGTTGTCGAATGAAGCGCTGTCTTTGCAGTCACCACCATCACCAAAACCATCAGCACCAGAATTACAGGATTTACCAGAAGGCCCAGCAGTATCCGGTGGCAGCCAAGGTGGTGGAGCTGACAATGCTGTTGGTGGTGTTGTTGGCCCCAGTGGAAGTTCTTCTGGAAGTGGTGTTAAATCTATGGTATCTGCTTCTTTTTCCGCCGGTACGCTTTCACCCCCTAATCCCGTTGACGGTGATGTTTTGCAGGGCGGCAAGGGTACGACAGCCACCCTGAGCATGGATTCCTCAGAAGAAAGTGAAAAGTCACAATCGGCAGAACCTCCAGCACCCGCACAACCAA